GCCCCCCCCCCCCCCTTTAATCTATACATAAATTCAGACCCCCCAGCCTTTCTAGGGTTAATACAAATGTATTAAAGCATCTAAACTTTTATATTGAAAACATTGATTTAACATAATGACCTAATCAAAAATGAAAATACAAAAAATGTGAAGAAGAGAAAATGTGTTTAAAAATAAAGTCTATTGTCTACAGTGGTACGCGATTATATCAATACAATGAAACCGGATTTTTTATTTATGCTTTGGGTGTTTACAAGCTTTTTTCGAACTACAATTTTACAAGTAATCAAAACGAAGCTTTTTCAATTGACAGCTTCTCTTTGTTTTCATTTCAATGCGTATCCACACTGTTAAAAAGCTTGATATAACTTAAAATTGAAAATCAAAAGTCGCCTTCATTGTATTGATATAATCACCTATCACTGCATTAAACCAGGGTATATTAATCAGCGTGAATATGTGTGAATGAACAACTCTTGTTTGCCAACAGGAAGAAGAGCAAAGTAAACAAAGAAATGAAATTGGACTCCACTGTAAATATAACATTATAATATTATGTATAAACAAAATTAATTATTTAATTATTTAAGACTACTTTACAGGGAAGTTAAGGGAATCTTACTTAATCAAGGGTTCCCAAGACCGATTTTGCCTGCAAACCATCCAGAGTGCAATGAGGGATGTTTTGTAGAGGGAACCCATGTTAAGTATATTTTTTACCACCCTTTGGTAAGTAAATTTTTTACCACCCTTTGGTAAGTAAATTTTTTACCACCCTTTGACCAACATTACCGACCTATGATTCCCCTAATAGAGGAAGGTTAGGTTACTGAACGTCCCTTGGGACAGTAATATAAAATAACTACCCGTTCTGAGAAGTTGTGTTCAGGAAAACATTTGGGCATTTTCATCTCAAAACACGGTGGTAAAATTGTGTACAATTACTTTTTCAGGAAGTTATGATTTGATTATTTACGATTACTTTTTCGGGAAGTTAAGGGAATTTTACCTACAAAACATTCCTCGCTGAGCTCTGGATGTTTTGTCGACAAAATTGGTTTTCGGAACCCTTGGTAAAAAAAAATCTCTTAACTTCCCTGTAAAGTAGTTGTAGATAATTGTAATTTCCAGAAAAAGTAATTTTACACAATTTTATCGCCTTTTAGATAAAAATGTGCGAATTTTTTTCCTGAAAACTTCGCAGAGTGGGTAATTATTTTACATATCTGTCCCAAGGGACGTTAAGCAACTTAACCTCCCTCTGCTGGGTATCATAGGACGGTAATATTGATCAACAGGCGGTAAAAAAATTACTGTATTCATGGTTTCTATAAAGAAAACAGTAGTACATGAAAGAGGCTCAATCTAAAGACGATTTTTAGTTTTTCGACATTCAATTTACGTCTGCTAAACATTTTGCAAGTTTTGGAAACTCTTTGAAAATAATGGCTGCCTCGAAAAACTAATAAATGATAAGATGATTTTTGAAAAAACTTATTATAACCTTGAAGTTACAAAAAGAAATTGTTTTGGAGGCGACTGACTACTGGATCTTATTCCACGTCAAGTACAGTTCGTTTTAGATAAAATGTAAGTCAGATCGATGAAAGAGACTAATGAGTAATATAATTAAATATCAAAATAAAATGAAACCTTAAGATTACATTTTAATCTTATTTCTAAAAACAAAAAATTTGCACTTTGTTCCTGTGATTATTAATTAAGTTAGGTCACATTTCTATATCCACCAAGCTAGATGCCCAACTTTCCAAGCAAGTTTAAAGTTGAAATTTGGTAAATAGAACTGTTAATGTATTTAAAGTTGGTAAATACAGGGTGTCCCACGAAACATGACAGTTGTTGAATAGTTTTGAAGGTCTTCTTCCATAAACTATATTAGTCATATTACTATATTACTACCATTTAATATTTTGTATTGTTCTCTTTGGTATCAAACAATCCAACAAATTATGGAAGAAGACATTTCTAACAATTCACCAATTGTCATGTTTCGTTGGACACACTGTAGATTAAGTTTGCTACCTGAGTTGAATTAATGTTCCAGGAGCATAACTATTTATCTTAATCAAGTTTAAGTCAACACGCAACAAACTATCGTATTAATCTAATAAAATCACGGAAAAGAAACAAAAACTTATTGAGAAAAAAGCTCTGAATCATTTAGAATAAAATAAATTGGTTGGATTAATAAAGGGGTTGGATCAATAAGGGGGTTGGATCAATAAAGGGGCTTGATCAATAAAGGGGTTGGATCAATAAAGGAGTTGGATCAATAAAGGGGTTGGATCAATAAGGGGGTTGGATCAATAAAGGGGTTGGATCAATAAAGGGGTTGGATCAATAAAGTGGTTGGATTAATAAAGGGGTTGGATCAAGATAAGGGTTGAACTAGTAAAGGGGTTAAAAGGATAAACGGGACAATTTAAAAGAAGATGCTTTGAATTTATAAAGATAATCATTTTTCGAAAAAAATAAAATAACATCCTAGCTCCAATCTTGTCTGTAACATCTTTTCAGAAATATGTCTCATGAAACCCGAATATTTAAAAAGTTATATTTGAAATTCAACTTGAAAATTTGATTTCAAGATTCAAGATTTTATTTGATGAACTTGCAAATGAATATTTAAAAAATTTTGATTGCAATTTTTCTTTTAAATTAAGTTTTTTCTTTTCTTTTCAGTCCAGAAGGGAAGAGGGCTGTATCTACAGGGTAAGTCAAAAAAAGGGTGTGATTTACGGCGCCTGGTGCAAAATTGTATCCTTTTTGTGCAACTCTCCTGTAGGATGATTTTTCAATATTTTTTTAAAATTTTAAATTTTAATCCAGTTGCCCAAAAAAATCCGCGAACCTTTTTTTCTCTCAAAATCAAAAGTTCAGAAAAGCAAAAATGTGTAAATAAATTATTTCTATCGAAATCTAAAATTTTATAATGATTAAATCACAGAATCACAGCAAACTCGCAAAATTGTAATAAGAAAATTTGCAATTTTCAGTCATGTTCTAATTTCTAAGGAAAAGTTGTTTTTCAAGGGTTCTTCAGGTTTCAACTGATCAGCATATATTTTAAACTTTTAAATAAACTAAGAAGAAAGGAACTAAAGAATTCAAATAACTTTTCCTTGAAAATTAGACCAGAACTAAAAATTGCGAATTTTCCTTTAACAATTATGCAAATTTTCTGTAATTCTGTGATTAAATCTTTATAAAATCTTAAATTTCGATAGAAATAGTTTATATACACATTTTTGCTTTTCTAAACTTTTGATTTTGAGAGAAAAAATGGTTCGCGGATTTTTTTGGGACCATAAAAACACATAAATCACACTTTTTTTCGACTCACCCTGTATTTATCGAGATGATTATTAATTTGTTCAACATGAACTATCCTAGTCCTCCTTTCTCGCTACCATCCGCTCAATAAAGCACAGCTAACTGCGAGATGATTATTAATTTGTTCAACATGAATTATCCTAGTCCTCCTTTCTCGCTACCATCCGCTCAATAAAGCACAGCTAACTGCGAAAATTTAAATCTAAAATCTAAAAGTGCAGCAGGATGATTTGGTGCCAACTAACTACAGTGGTCGGCGTTTATATCAATACTATGAAGACGACTATTTATGTGTCTCATTTTCATTGGATTGTGTAAATTCGTAACTTGAGTCAAAAAGTCGTTTTCCAATTCTCATTGTAGCTTATCTAAAGCAATACTGTGTAATAATTCTGTAATGACACATCAGTACACTTTACTAACAAATAAAGTCGTATGAAAACAATTATTATGAGACTGGGCTGTAGTATTACAAAGAATTTAACAAGTACAAATCTGTACATCCGTTTGTGAACACCATGTATTTCTTAGCTGGTACAACCCTAAATATTTGCATGAAGATGCATTAATCACGGACCAAAGTATTTTGACATTGTTTGCGTTTTCAATTAAAACCACTATTTCTGAGAAAGAAAACAATTAACAAGAAAAATAGTTTCTATAGATTCTTTCCAGTTTTACGACTAGAAATCAGAATTCCTACTTTTTTTAATGGTTTGATATGAAAAATATAATAATTTGTTCAATCTTTAAGACGACATTTAAAAGAGGTTATAGAATCAACATTATAACAGAGGATGTCGTATCTTGCAGCGACCAACGCACACACACAAGCTATATTACATTTTTGACATACTTGCACGTGATTTTAGAGCTGATAGGCGTGGTGTTCCGCCCCCTAGCCTGTCTTAGCCGCAACGAATGGCAAAGAAATTGTCCTAACCAAACACAACCCTGAAAAAACAGCTGTTTTAGGTCGGATATTTCAATATATTGGAAATTATTTGTTTAGAAGTTGAGCAAAGTAGTGTAAAATCTAAACTATAATTGTAGGATAAACTACACCTGGGAAGAAGAAGGCCAGTGTGATCCACTCTAGAACTATATACGCAGGATTTTTAAATAATCAAGAACATTCCCTTTAATCCTGTCAATTTTCAAATTAAAAGAACATTAAAATGTAATTTTAATCTGTATTTTAAAACTAAAATATAATGTAAACCAGAGTTTTATCGAGCATCTTAAAGGAAAATAATATTGGCACATTTTAATTGTTAAAACTGTAAACATGTAATATTTAATCTCAAGCTTTCATGGACAATACTGATCGTCATGTTGCAGATGCTCATGGGAGATGTTTAGGGAGTAAAGAAATACTCCTTAATCCTATTTCAAGAAGTGATCCGTTAATTCAAATGACAGTCAAGGTACAGAATGATATCAAAACTTTGTTCGGAGATCATATAAAGCATTAGAATCATTAATTGTATCGCTTGTAGTTGTTTGATCCAATTATTCATCAAGAGTGATCAGTATAACCCGGAGTTCTTGAGGCTCCAAAAGAGACTAGGGTTGTCTCACAAACACAAGCAAGTCAATAAACAGAACAGAAATATATTCATTTGAAAAAGATAATTGATGTTGAAATGTGATTTCAACTGATTGATCTTCAGATGTGGAACAGGACTGATACAATATATATTTACCAGGGCTTCCTATATACAGTTTGATCCTTCATCTTATATTCACACAATTCTACCTCCCAGTCAGCTTTTTAACAAAGATCTCACGGTAATCTAGAGGGATCTCACAGTGATCTACAGCACACAGCTAGTCTGTAAAACCTCCCAGGTATTGTTGAAAGCTGACTCTTGTTAAACGTTAGATTTCAATAATTCCACTGTAGGCAGAAAGAACCTGAGGACGACTGTACGTATCGTTTCTGTACTACATACTACTGTTGCGCTTGAGGTATTGTATCTAGATCAATTCCAGAAGGTGAATACTTCTGATATTTCAATAAGTATTCTTTAAAGAATAAGATCGTTCCTGACCTGACTTTAAACTAATTCAGGAATATCCTGATCTACATGCGTTGATCCTACGGAATCAAGGAAGAATTGCAGTCCGCAGTGTTTTCAGGTCACACTTGAAAGCTCATTATCTAATAAACCTAACGGATTTATGTGGAAGAGCTTGCATAGTTTGATTAATGCAGAGCCTTCTCATCCCATCGTTTCTCTTAATTTATCTATTTCAGGTTTGTTCCACCTCGAAACTTTTGTATTGGATACCCATTATCCCAGTTGGTTGATTTCAGTATCCACAGTGGGCCCTTTTGAATTTTACGGAGTTTCTACTGAATCTCTTGATTTTATCTGTTCTCTCATTGGTTTACTGCAAAATTCCTTGGCTTATGATTGGTGGATTTTCTGCAATTAGCGGGATATGGAATAAAGATTAAATTAATCTGTAGATAAACGAAAGATCGAGAACAAGGATTGTTATCGATATACGGAACAAGGTTACAAGAGTTCCCACCTGGATATTTTGCGGAGATTTATGTGTCATAAATTTTACTTTTTGAGACATTTCTGGTTAAAAAATAGAAGACAATCATTTAACTGCTACATGGTTTCGTTGTTCAATTCGTATAATTACAAAATTAAATGATTTTATGGAGATCAGATAAACGTAGTAATTGTTTTAGTGGTTTCTTAATTAATTTAGCTTTTTTATCTATTTTGTTATTTTTATTTATAGAGACCCACCTCTCTCAATCCTTTTACATAATGTTTTATCAGCGCTCTTCTAATAAAATCAGATTAACATACAGGGGGATCCATAAATATGTGGAATAGAATACTGAACGTTAAACTTCAGTTACAGTGGTAGGCGATTATATCAATAATATGAAGACGACTTTCGATTTTAATTTTGATTAATATCAAGCTTTTAAACAGCAATAACAATGGATATTTCAAGCAAACATGTATTTTAATTATAACTATATATCTATATATAAATACTGTGAAGACGACTTTTAATTAAGTTTGATTAAGTATTGATATAATCGCCTAGCACTGTATGATTTTCAGTAGTACAAAGAATATGAAACAATTTCATTTTAGTTGATGATTTGCTTTTTAAGCAATTTCCGGCCACAGTTGTCTTTAAAAAGTAAGACTAGTACCAATTAACAGCTAATAGGCTGTTCAGTTTGCCATGAAATTACCCAAATACATGAACGGTCCCTTTAAGTAAATTATATTTGTAATATGGTTGACATATTTTGTTAAGGTTTGAAATAAAGTTCTTTTATTTGTTTTTCGTGTTTTATTTGAGGATGTTTTTATATTTTAAGATTTATTCAAACAATATCAGGTAAATGACAATAAAACAAACATTATAAATTGATAAATCAAATTAATTAATTTAAAAACATATTCAACAATAATATAACAATTTATTCCAACACACAAAAACTGACATAAACATTAATCTAAGAATGAGGGGGTTATGGGTGTAAAGAGGACAAAATAAACTGTAAAAAAATTTTATTTTAATTTTCAATGTTATTATTTAAGTCATTGCAACGAACGCTGATTTTCGATTTCACTTTTCTTTGCAGCCGAATGTCATAGACCTTAGATATTTTAAACACCATGCATTCTGTTAGCTAGAACAAATCATTTCAGTTTAAAATATCAAAGGTTTACACCAATGAACATATACAGGAACGCCCAACTCAGATATACGCAAATTGTGTACTGTACACTGTGGGAGGAATGTAAACAAACTCACTGCTTCCACAGAAGTTGAAGGGAAAGGACTAAAGCTCTGATGTGATATTACAGTCCAACAAAAAACAAGTTAATTTATGAAGTCAGAGCAAATACATATGATTTTTGGCTCTCTGGTCAATTTGGAAAATACAATAGCAATATATTTTTATTCCACCCTTGGGCCCTTTTCCCTCAAAAATGATGCGTTGCTACTGAATTCTTTTTTTTGATCTCCTTCCACTGCAGTACACAGATTTGACGCATGAGATAAGGCGGTTCCTGGTCTATATATTTTTTGGTTTACACCTTCTTAGCTGCAAAGGAATTGAGTCTTTGCCACAAACTCTGATTTTCTAATCTCTATATCTTTGGAACCAAATGTTGCAGACCTTAGATATTTCAAACTGTGAATTCTGTTAGATCAAATAATCTGAGTTTGAAATATCAAAGGTTTACAAGATGGGGTTCAAAAGATATTGAGGTTTAAATATTTGATTTTGTTCCAAAGACCCAATTCCTTTGAGAGATTCGAAAATTTCAGACTCATATCCTTCTGGAAACAATATTTTTTACTTTTAAAAATGTTGTAGGAAAAAAACCTGTTCTACAAGATTACATACAGTCATAACCAGAAAACTCCGAAATAGGAAGACGACTTAGAAAGCAAATAGTTTTTCTAGACAATTAATAAATAGCAACTCAAGTCAATTTGGTCTTTTTAAACGGACCAACTTCTGTTTCCCGTGCTTATTGGACTAACTAAAGTCATAATTTGAGTTTAAAAGTCGTCTTTCTATTCCAGAGTTTTCTGGTTATCACTGTAGCAAAAAAAATAATTTAAAATTACTACAAGGCACTTATTTTTCAAAGTTTTTTGTATAAAACTGCAGGTAAAGATATAATTTTTAACAGAAGAAAATTCTAGGACAAACTAATAGTGTTTCATACTTGATTAAACGGGTTTGGTTATGACAATTTCAGGGCCAAGCATTAGAAATTTTGAAAATTTCTTTGTTAACATAAGCAAATTAAAATAAATTTGAAGATTTTTCTTTGACAACTTTTTTGACCAGACATAAACTTTTCAATACGTTATTTAAACTGCCGTAAAAAAATTGGGTCCGACCTGGTTACTGGTTAGCAATTTTGACGTTTATTGACATACAAACGAAATATATTTGATAGCAGAAGTTAGCAGAATTAAACTTGAATTGAACGACTGTTGTTTGTGTCTGGAAATAATCTGGAGTTGTTTCTTTAAAATCTTGATTTAAGATAATTATATAATTGATAATAGTCTAAAAAATGATAAAATTGTGCGCGTTAACGAGAGGAATCAATTCTTTGTAAACTTCCAGTGTTTCTCTACCTCATCGCCGATAGTTCTAAAAATGTATATACAGTGGTTCTCCTAATAATATGGAAAAGAAAGACGAATAATGACAAAAAATGTTATGGATTCAATATTATCGTCTATCTAATACACTTTATTCTGAAGACCCCTGCATCATTACATATACATATGTATTAGCCAAGAAAACAAAAATAAGAAATAAATGTATTCTTGGCTACCTAGAACCTACCTGACTACCTAGAACCTACCTGGCTACCTAAAACCTACATGTCTACATAGAACCTACCTGACTACCTAGAACCTACCTGGCTACCTAGAACCTACCTGACTGCCTAGAACCTTCCTGGCTACCTAGAACCTACCTGGCTACCTAGAAACTACATGGCTTCCTAGAACCTACTTAGCTACTTAGAACCTACATGGCTACCTAGAACCTACCTGGCAACCTAGAATCTCCCTGGCAACCTAGAAACTACCTGGATACCTAGAACCTACATGTCTACCTAGAACCTACCTGACTACCTAGAACCTACCTGGCTACCTAGAACCTACCTGACTGCCTAGAACCTTCCTGGATACCTAGAACCTTCCTGGCTACATAGAAACTACATGGCTTCCTAGAACCTACTTAGCTACTTAGAACCTACATGGCTACCTAGAACCTACCTGGCTACCTAGAATCTCCCTGGCTACCTAGAAACTACCTGGCTACTTAGAACCTACCTGGCTACCTAGAACCTTCCTGGATACCTATAACCTACCTGGCTACCTAAAAACTGCATGGCTTCCTAGAACCTACTTAGCTACTTAGAACCTACATGGATACCGAGAACCTACATGTCTACCTAGAACCTACCTGACTACCTAGAACCTTCCTGGCTACTTACAACCTACCTGACTGCCTAGAACCTTCCTGGCTACATAGAAACTACATGGCTACCTAGAACCTACCTGGCTACCTAGAATCTCCCTGGCTACCTAGAAACTACCTGGCTACCTAGAACCTACCTGGCTATCTAGAACCTACCTGGCTACCTAGAACCTAGATGGCTACATATCACCTACCTTGCTACCTAGAACCTACCTTGCTACCTAGAACCTACTTGTCTAACTAGAACCTACCTGGCTACCAAGTACCACCTAGAGTCTTCCTGGCTACCTGGAACCTACCTGCTACCTAGAACCTCCAAAAATCTACATGCTATTAAATCCACACTACTACCTAGAACCTACCTTCTGCCTAGAACCTCCTGAAACCTACCTGGCTACCAAATGCCACCCAGAACCTACCTGACAAGTTGGTCTTGAACGGCTCTAACTGGTCTACAGCTACCAACAATTCTGCTACTGTTTAAATGTTGCTAAATAATGGAAAAAATAGAAATTATTTCGGTGTAACATAAATCAAATCTGTAAAGCAGAGAAACTTTATAACGTAATTACATGATTACATAAAAGCATAAAATAATAATAAGAATACATATTTTTATTACAAATTGTTACTAATACCGAAATCATTTTTCAAAAATGCGCAAAAAAAACATTGGGGCGAAAAATCAATGTTTACTCTCTTTTTAAAAGTTTAGCTTTATATAGTTTACATTTCTAGGTTCAGAAGTGTACTCTAAGCACCATTAAGCAAAATCCTGAACCTTGAAATCAAAAATATGAAGGCAATAATATTGTTTTAAGCCTGGACACAACACCCTGTAGTATCATTAACAAACATAAAAGATAATTTAAATATTTAATTCATAATTAAATTTTTAATTCTGACAAAAAAGTAAAAAACTATTAAAACTTTTTAGTTGTAACTTAAATTTAAGTAGAATATCAATAGTCCATCCACTTGTTATTCATTTGCATTTAATATTATATACATTCCTTTATATGGTTTCTTCAAAATGAATTATAGCCTTACCTTTTCAGAATTAACTTTATTTTCTCCTTTCTTCTGAAAAAGAGAAATATTATTGGTTGAAATATAATTCAATTCTGGTTTCTGTAGACTATTACTTGACTTTGATGGAAAAAATATAATTTGTTATTTATGGGGAAAATATGAAATGAAATATTTAAATAGTCCTAATTTTAATCATCAAAGGCTTAAAACCATCAGTTTGTAAAGATGCAGGGATTAGAAAATAAAAATAAAAAATGTTTGCCAAAAATGCTTAAAAACAGAAATAATCTTGGATTTAAAGAATGTGTGATTTATATTGATTTTCAAATTATTTATTGGAAAACAGTAAGAAATGTAAAAAAAGAAACACTGCTACAGCGAGATTGTTTTCGTCTCTAAATGTAAAAATTCCAGAAAGAAGTTAGAATTATTTCGCCAACAATGTTATTGTAAACCCACCAAAGGTTTAGCCATGTGTACATAAGCTGATTTAAGTTCATTGCTCCCAAAAGTGGGGAAATGATGTATAATAAATGCAATCAATAAAGCCAAACAAGTCCGGAGTCAGTCCAAGGGTATGGAACTCCGAGTATGTGCGCAACTCTAATTATTGAACAGTGTAGATAAGGCCAAGCTGGTCGCAGGGTGCGGTACACCTGGAGGATGGGCAGCTGGGTAAAAAACTCCGAGAGTATTGAACCCTTTCTTATCTGGAGAAATAGGGGAACTAGGGTTAATAATATGATGCCCGAGAAAGGAGGAACTGCATTATCTGCCGGCAGAGAAAGAAATATCGTCCGCTATCGCATGCCCCAATTCAAAGTCAGTTAGCACAAAGTATCTGAAGAGAAGAGTCGGATGGAAATATATTAGCCCCCAGGCGAATGTTGAGTGTAATTAGATCAACTTCAGTTGGTCCAACACTATTCGTTTGAATAGTTATTATGTCAATATATGTGTATGTGTAACCATGCTTTGTTATTCCACTCTATCTTGGCTATTTAATACTGAATTCTTGTCAAGTCTATATTATGCTTTCAAGTTGTCAAGTGTTGTCAAACTAACCTTCTCCATTGCACTGTAATCATGAAGCATCTCGTTAAGAACAGAATCATTGTAAACATCTATAGGGGTGTTATACTAAATATAACAAATATTTACAGCTTAAATATTTTATCTAAAGAACCTGTAAAATCTTTCCCTGGGATGTTTAAAAAGATGAAAATTTCCCTGTATGATAATTGAAGGACAGCAGTATGGTTTTGGTGAATTATATTGGCGTACTAAGCCTAGGGGTGTCAGAAATAATATTTTTTTTGTATATTTTTAAAAACATCTATAAAACTTTTAAAGTTTAATTTTTGATAAAACTATTTGTTCTGGATGATTGCAAATATCTATCTAAAACTTTCTTAAACCGGAATATTTTTTCTAAATTCATGTAGTTAATAGTTTGAGTCAAAATAAAAATTCTGTTTGGTTTATGTACCCCCTCTCCCCTGTATACCACAGTAAAGCCAAGTACTTTGCAGTACATTGTAGTACCCTGTACCCTGAAGCACTCTGTATACCCTGTTACAATCACTTTCCATAAAAAGATTTGAAAAATACAAATTGGTGTTTTTGCCATTCCTCCCTCCAATGAATCATCAGCTGTTTAGTTTTAAACCATCAACAGAATCTCTTTTTATACTGTTTTACACAAATGAAAATAATGCAAAACTAGAGTAAAGTGCAACCCAGAAAAGCTTTTATATAAGTTCTAAATATTTTTGTTCAAAATAAAAATTCTGTTTGGTTTGGCAACTTTTTTCTGCAGAATCTGTCCTACTTTCTGAGAGGTTTATATCGGTATGTTTAAGGATATAAAGCAATATCAATAATTGTTTTAACTTAACCTCTTAAAAAAGTGAATTTAGAAAAAACGTGTTGATTTAAGAAAGTTTTCTATAAATATATGCAATCACCCAGGACAAAAAGTTTTATTAAAATTAAACTTTTTAGGTTTATGGGACGTTTTCAAAAAAATGGAAAAAAGATCATTTATGACACCCCTAGCTGCTTAGTACGTCAATATAATTCACCAAAACCATACTGCAGTCCTTCAATTATCATACAGGGAAATTTTAATCTTTCTAAACATCCCAGGGAAAGATTTTACAGGTTCTTTAATCTAATTTTAGAAATCGTCATAATTGATAAAAAGATTCTTTTAATTTTGAAAATATATTTCTTAATTGTTTAATAAATAGATAAAATGTCTAGAGCACGCCTTTCTCTTAGCCCAAAGAGGAGGTTATCATTGCTTTAATACTTTAACTGATTTCAATTCATGTAGCTGGCGGCCCTAACTGCTTGAAACTCCCTCAATTGTAAAATATTCCTGTTTGTTTTCAATAAAGAAAGGTTTCCCAACTGTTGTGAACTTCGTTGGAATTTTCCCCGGAAGCCCATGATCCTAAACAACAGAAATTGAATCTGGAATCGGTTAAACAATTTGAAGGAAATATTTGCGAAAAATGAAAGAATGTTTAATCTGGAATCCATTGTCCCCAATGAAATCGTAGCCACTGTAAACTCTGGTTAATTTCAAGTACCGGCCCTACTGCTAAGCAGCAAGAGCAAGCTTTACTGTCATACAGCTTAATTAAGGCAAAACGGGACGGTAGACCAAAATAAAAAGCCAATTATGGAGCGATTCTATTGTAGCTACTGCAATGAATAAATGGTTATGTAAAAGCGATGTAAATGCAATGTCTTCAATTAATTCATCGTTATCCCCTGCGCGCTGGATTACAACTTTATAATAATTTCTATAAAAAAGCGAGAATGCCGCGCATCAATCATATTTTGCATATTTACAATCTAATTTGAAATTTATACATTGTAAGATATGAATGATCAATCATATATTTAGTTGAATGGTTTTGACCGGGATATTGCAACTCCATAAATTTACTGAATTTTTTTTCGAACACTTACTTTTAGAGTTGATAATTCAATTTAAAAGGTGTGACCAGCTATGTAAGGTAGTCGAACAGAGTATGCAGTGCATGGAACAACTAGTTGATCCATGATGCAGTGTTGTGGAAAACTTCTTTCGGATTCATTTGAAACATTGAAACATTACTAAACAACGACGACAAAAAATAAAGTAAAATTTTACAGTAATCCAATTAGATGATTAGGAACATATTTCTCAAAAGAAATTTGTCAATAAATCAATGCTAGAATCAATTATTTCGTTTTCATCATTATATTGAATTTCTTATTTTCTTTGAATTAATTCGCTTATTTCTTCAAATGTCGCCTTTTAATAATATTTCAGAAAATCTGCAGAAAATCTTTGTAATAATGAGAAACCAGAATAATGAGAAAATAGAAACTATTAATTGAACAAGAATACTTATTTTCGATTGAAAAGTTTATATGTCTCAAATGAATCCGAAAAAAAGTTTTCCACAACACTGCATACTCAGTTCAACTACCTTACATAGCCGGTCACTCCCTTTAATAAAGAGACTTGCATGTCTGCTGACGCCTCCCCTTGAACCTTTATATTAGTAACAATTCAGAAAAGAAAATCATTTTTTACAGAAAAATATGATAAAATATGAATTCTAACATTTTCTCTCTATGTCTCTGCTGCAACTTTAAATGATCAAAGGTTTGTTATTTTATAAAAAAGAGAGTGTAAGTCATTCATTACTTTGTATATTGAATAAAAGCCTTTACCTTCATAGCTGCCTTGTAATACGCATCTCCAGTCAGACAATCTTTCCGTTGTATCTAAAAAAAAGAAAAATCAAGCTGGATATTTGTTGTGTATAATGTAGGAGAATTTATGAACTGTTTGCAGATGTTTTGAACCCAAATGTGTATATTTTAATGCAGTGAGGACCAAAAAACAGTGAAAAAGGAAGACGTCATAAAAGCAGGAAGTGTATCTTATATTGTTACAAAGGAAATATTTTACTAGTAAGTAATTAAATCCATTATTCACAAAACAATTACTTTGTCTCATTTTCCTTAATTAATTTAATAATTTAATTCTAAAAGTCTGTATTATTTAGTTTAATTATTATTTAATTTGAGCTGAAAGGTTCCTAAAGTGAAGGCTTTTAAATCATAAACCTTTGACTTCAGCGCTTCAGGCTCCTTTCCACGCAACTATTCACCCCTTGACAAGGGATAAATGTCGTCTTCCTTGCGTAATTTCATATTCTGCATTTGCTTTATAAATTTTGCAATAACAAAATTTCTATCAATTTTTGCGCGCTCGTTCTAAATCATTTGCGAAATTCTCTTCTATAAACTAGTAAATTATATCAGTTTACGCAGTCAATGTCAAGCTCAGTCGCTAAAGTTTTTCCTCTTTAAAAGTTTTGCCCTTTGGTGTATTTTCCCTTTAAACAAAACTGTTATTTTCAAAACTATTTTGGAAAGTTAAAGAATAAAAGTTTGAAGTGTGAAGTGTAGAATAACAGTTAAAAGTGAAGTAAAGAATAAAAGTTGGGAGTAAAGTAAAGAATAAAAGTTGGTAGTGAAGTAAAGAATAAAAGTTGGTAGTTAAGTGTAGAATAAAAGTTGAGAGTGAAGAGAGGAATTAAAGTTGGGATAGAAGTGTAGAATAAAAGTTGGGAGTGAAGTGTAGAATAAAAGTTGGGAGTGAAGTGAAGAATTAAAGTTGAGAGTAAAGTAAAGAATAAAAGTTGGGAGTGAAGTAGAGATAAAGGTTAGAAGTGAAGTGAAGATGAAAGTTTGGTGTGAAGTGAAAATAAAAGTTGTGATGGAAGTGAAGAACACAAGTTGGGAGTGAAATGAAGAATAAAAGTTGGGAGTGAAGTGTAGAATAAAAGTTGGGAGTGACGTTAAGAATTAAAGTTGAGATTGAAGTAAAGAATAAAAGTTGGGAGTGAAGAGAAGATAAAAGTTAGGAGTGAAGTGAAGATGAAAGTTTGGTGTGAAGTGAAAAATAAAAGTTGTTAGGGAAGTGAAGAATAAAAGTTGGGAGTGAAGTGAAGAATAAAAGTTGGGAGTGAAGTGTAGAATAAAAGTTGGGAGTGAAGTTAAGAATTAAAGTTGAGAGTGAAGTAAAGAATAAAAGTTGGGAGTGAAGAGAAGATTAAAGTTAGGAGTGAAGTGAAGATGAAAGTTTGGTGTAAAGTGAGGAATAAAAGTTGTGAGGGAAGTGAAGAATAAAAGTTGGGAGAGTAGGGAAGAAAAAAAGTTGTGAGGGAAGTGAAGAATAAAAGTTGGGAGTGATGAATAAAAGTTGTAAGGGAAGTGAATAATAAAAGTTGGGAGTGAAGTGAAGAATAAAAGTTGTGAGGGAAGTGAAGAATAAAAGTTGGGAGTGAAGTGAAGAATAAAAGTTGTGAGGGAGGTGAAGAATAAAAGTTGGGAGTGAAATGAAGAATAAAAGTTGTGAGGGAAGTGTAGAATAAAAGTTGGGAGAGTAGTGAAGAATAAAAGTTGTGAGGGAAGTGAAGAATTAAAGTTGGGAGTGAAGTGAAGAATAAAAGTTGTGAGGGAAGTGTGGAATTAAAGTTGGGAGTGAAGTGAAGAATAAAAGTTGTTAGGTAAGTATAGAATAAAAGTTGGGAGTGAAGTGAAGAATAAAAGTTGTGAGGGAAGTGAAGAATAAAATTTGGGAGTGAAGTGAAGAATAAAAGTTGTGAGGGAAGTGAAGAATAAAAGTTGGGAGTGAAGTGAAGAATAAAAGTTGTGAGGGAAGTGAAGAATTAAAGTTGGGAGTGAAGTGAAGAATAAAAGTTGTGAGGGAAGTGGAGAATAAAAGTTGGAAGTGAAGTAAAGAATAAAAGTTGGGAGTGAAGTGAAGAATTAAAGTTGGGAGTGAAGTGAAGAATAAAAGTTGTGAGGGAAGTGAAGAATAAAAGTTGGGAGTGAAGTGAAGAATTAAAGTTGTTAGGGAAGTAAAGAATAAAAGTTGTGAGGGAAGTGAAGAATAAAAGTTGGTAGTGAAGTGAAGAATACAAGTTGTGAGGGAAGTGAAGAATAAAAGTTGGTAGTGAAGTAAAGAATAAAAGTTGTGAGGGAAGTGAAGAATACAAGTTGGTAGTGAAGTAAAGAATAAAAGTTGTGAGGGAAGTGAAGAATAAAAGTTGGTAGTGAAGTAAAGAATAAAAGTTGGGAGTGAAGTGAAGAATACAAGTAGTGAGGGAAATGAAGTTGGGAGCTGTGACGCTAACAAATTTAAGTTGAGTGATGACTATTTAATTTAACTTTGAAAACACAAAATATCAAAACAAGTAAAACAATAAAATAGTCAGAGTTCAAGTTTAAATGTTAAAAATATAAAATTTTTCAGCAAATAAATTGAATGATTGCATATTTTTAAAGAATATATTTAAACATCTTTATAGCATGCATTCTTCAAAATTTTAAGCTTAATCTACTAAATGTGCCCAAATGTATTTTGTTCTTAAACATGTCATGGGCGGTCATGGCTAAAAAACAGCAAACCCTGAACATAAAGTTATCATTAAACATATTGAAGCGACTCTTGAGGTCAGACCTGTTGGAAATATGGAGTTTAGCCGTAATTAATACAGATTATTCTTTAAAAAATTGTCAAATCTCATGAGTCGTATTCACAAATTGTGCCAAAATGAACGCAAAGCGCTGTAACGTTTGACTAACCTGAGGAGACGAATTCTGCTTCTTTAGTTTGTAAATCTGCGTAAAGGAGGGAACAATATTCTCTCCTCTTTCTATTTCAAGATCTAGATTCAACCCTGCACTCCTTAAACAAGATCATCTAGAGTTAAGCAGACACTTTTAAAACAAGATCTAGAGTTAACCCGTCACTCCTAAAACAAGATTTAGATCGTTAACTTGGTACTCTTGAACAAGATCTTGATTAAACCCGGCACTCCGAAAACACGATCTTGATAGTTAACTTGGTACTCTTGAACAAGATCTTGGTTAAACCCGGCACTCCGAAAACATGATCTTGATAGTTAACATGGTACTCTTGAACAAGATCTTGGGTAAACCCGGCACTCCGAAAACATGATCTTGATATTTAACCTGGTACTCTTGAACAAGATAGAAAATGAACACTTACAATAACAAATTATCCCAAAAATAAGGAGAAAGTGTAGGCCATCAGAGCTGTAAACTTTTGATATCGGGATTAATGCTTGATCAACTCTTTTTCTTAATCTCGAGATTAAATAATGCTTGTTCTTCTCTTGATATTAATCTTCAGATTAATTAACCGATCGGATTAAAGATATCCCATTCTAAAGTTTTCAGCTCTGAATCAATATAGATCCGCGCTTCAGATTATAATAATTATATATATAATATTACAGTGAGAACCAGAAAACTGTTGAATACGACGTTATATTTCAAAATATGTGTCCAGAGCTAAAATCCTGATTGGTTAATTAATCTGGAGATTAATAAAAGGAGGAGAACAAGTCTTATTTAATCTCGAGGTCAGAAAAAGTTCCCAGCTAAGAGCTGAAAACTTTAGAATTTTAGATATTGAAATCAATGCTTGATCTCATCTTTTTATTATTTTCCAGACTAGTATAATCTCCAGTTTGTTCCTGAACAGTGCATTAAATTCAACCAACAAAATGGCGTATGCAAAATTTTGAAGAGCCAATCAGAAGTCGAGAATATTTGAAATTTTACGCGCTTCTTAATTTGTCTAAATCTTGTATGGTTATAAAATAAGGGAGAAAAGAGAAGATTAAGCAGGAAATTCAGATTAATCGATCGGGATTTAAGAAATCCAATTCTAAAGTTCACAGCTCAGGCCATTTAACTTTAAAAAGTTATTTTTAAGCTATTAGTGAAAATATTTGCATTTTATGAGCGTCGAATATACTTGAATATTGCTTTATTGTCGTGTTCCTATGACTATAGTATATTTTGGTTCTCACTGTATTATATTTTGGTTCTCACTGTAGTATATTTTGGTTCTCACTGTATTATATTTTGGTTCTCACTGTAGTATATTTTGGTTCTCACTGTAGTATATTTTGGTTCTCACTGTAGTATAGTTTGTGTTACGTCCATGCATGCAGTGTGATTTGATGCATTTAAAACTAGGAATTTTGATAAATCAAATACTCAAAATTTAAAAAGGTTGCTGAGATATAGGGATCTATATTAATAAAACTAGAGTTTAAGTTACAGAGCTGGGAACGATCGCTTAATCTCAAAATCCACTGTGGGCCCTGTTAAATTTGACAGAGAACCTGCTGGATCTCTTGATTTTGGAGATATTGCCATTTCTATGTTCTCTCATAGGTTGAACGCAAAATTCCTGGCTTCTGATTGGCTGTTCGTTTTTGACAGACGACATGGGTTAATGATAAAGATGTTTAATAGCAAAAGATCCACAATTCAATAGATCTCGGCTCAGTTGCTATTTTAAGAAAATCAACTTTAATTAAGATCTTACTTGATGAGTTGAGCGCACTGTTTATGTGTTAAACCGAAAACTGACTGCCCATTCACCTTTAACGATCCAAACCAAATATTTTTCAAGCATTTTTACAATTTCATATTTCAAATTAATTAATATATTTATCTAAAGGAAACTGAGTAGTTTTTTTTATAAAAACAATTATTATTTTTATGATCAAATAAATTTTGTTAGTCCGAATCTTTCCTTCCAGAGATAGTCCATCTAAAACAAGAAAAACAAGTTTACATTCAAAGCTAGGAACTGATGACTTTATTTCTAGTTTTATAGATGCTAGGTCGGATTCACAATGGTACCCTTTAAATGTTTGAGATGGCCTTGTTTTTCAAGCTAAAAAGGTGTTGTTTTCAATTGGGGGTTCTCTTGAAAAGAAAGTTAATTGATAATGTTTAACGCTTACTTTCTCATTGCTACCAAGACTAAGGTTAAAAGGGTTGTGAATCAGATAGGCCTCTCGATAATTGAGCGAACACTTGAATTAATGAAATTGTTTCAAAGTATCAAATCACAATTGATATTTAATATTTAATGTAGATTTGTATATTATAGAAAATTAATGGAGGAAATAATTTGATAATAATAATGATAATGATTATAACATTATTTAAAATAATGATAATAATACTAATAGTATTAATAATAAGTATGGAAAGAACATTAACAATAAAAATATAACTAATTTTTTAATTATGATGACCTTATTCAGACCAGCAAGATCAGCTACAGACTCTTCCCTTAAAAACATGATAAATATATAAAAGCATCAACAGCTGTGAGAATAAAAACAAAAATTTAAATCTAACGAATGTCATATGAACAACAACAAATATCTGCAGTTAAACCCTAAATGAGCCATACATCGGAAGAATTTATCAAATGTCGTTTTGACAATTTTTCAATGGGCTTTATACTATTTGACGTAAATCTCAGTATTTGCGAAAATAAAAAAATAGCCAAGAATATGCGGGAAAAGTTTTAAAGAGCTCAATGTAATCCTTTAATTAAAAATCTAAATATCTGCAACATTCCATTATCAGAAAGTGAAGAATACGACATCTGACGAATTCTTTCGATGTAGGGCTTATTTAGGGTTTAACTGTATATTTAAATTTTGAATAAATATCATGGATTGATTGAATTAGTCAATAACATGGTACATAACAAGAAAATTATAAAAGTTTAACTTTTTAAAGGCTCTTTTGAGGCCGAATTTATAGAATTTTAAGCGCGGCTCAAATATGGTTGGTTCCACGTGTGACTTAAACTTCTATTCAATGTCTCAAGATTTAAGTCGGCGCTCAATTGAAACCGGTTTTTGGCGGATTTAAGACACGGCTTAAATTTATTAAATTCGGACTCCGAATGTTTTATAAAAAATTGTTTCTTTAAATACAACAAGATTGAATGTGAGGGAGCGCTGTGTCAGGGATATTAAAGTGAAACTAAATATCTTATATTTTATTAAATAATAATAATAAATATTCACCTGACTGTTCCAATTTTCAGCGCGAACCCCTGAATAATATTTTCCTTTCTTAAAATAATCTGTTTTACAAGCGTTTTATAATTTTTTTTTTTTATAATTTTCATAAAATAAAATGGTACGAGGCAGTTAATTTCAAATGTTCATTTCATCTTTTTTCTCCTTTCTCCGTCTGCACGTCCGCAGGTTCTCTTTTTCTTACTTCCCTTTGCCCGTCCATTTATGGCGCTGATTTTGAAAGAATGTTTACGATTCGCTGTCTTTGCGCCATTATAAGACAGTGCACGATCACCCTTTCATTGAATAGATGTCCACCTCTCTGTTTTTTGTTTAGTTTGCATAATCGTAATTGCAGCCTCAGCGCTGCACATCTTGTCTACTTGCATTTTCTAGTTCAGGCCACTCCTAAAACTTCAAGTTAGTTTTTATTTGCAGTGAGGAAGCAATAGTTTCCATGCTTTGAACCGCACATTTTTACTTTCCAATAGAAGTAGAGGAGAGTAAAGATGAAGATAAGGGTTTGTAGGAGTGGCATATCAGGAATGTTTTTTTAAAAAACACTCCATTTGTCCACATGTTATACTGTTTCCCAGTCCAGCGGAATTCCTAAGGTAGTATCGCATTTTAGTGTGCACTCCCATGCAGAATGCGGAGTTGTCCCTTTTCATCAGCTGTGGTTCGGAGCCCTTCCAGAAAGGGTTCCAATCGCTAAGTGGAGTGGGTATAAAACCGGATTAGTTTTAGACATACTGCAGCTGACTTAAAATAATCTAATCAGGCTCATATCTATATATATATCTATGGGGCACAATTTATGAGACAAAAAAAATAAAATGAAAAAATGAAAAGAAGAAAACAAAAAATGAAAGAGAAGAAAAAAGAGGAAAAAATTTGCAAAAATTGTTCTCACTAATACTATGTGTAAAGGATTGTTTGTTCTTCAAATCATAGAAAAATTGAGAGCTTTCTGAAATAAATTATTTGGTAATTTTTATTTCTATCCTGTCTTGTGAAATGATAGGGTTTAAATAAAGTTTTTGTATTTTGAGAAGCTTATTCTTTTGATACAAACAGCTCCTCAATAGCACTTGAGGCGAAGAAAACAGGCAAAAAAACTTTTTAATAATTGTAATGTGTGATAAATTAAAGATATAATTCATTCATTAATTTTGACAATTATTGATTTTTTCAGGTCAAAAAACTGTTTCGCCTTCAGCGCGCCCTCTACTTATATATTTATGCTATTTTTCTATTTTGCGCCCCCCCCCCATTAAAAATTCCTAGCTACGGGCCTGAATCTAATAATTACAATTCTTATATTCTATTTTATCTGTCCTTAAACTGTCTATAATGAATATAAATGTTGGGAATTCTACAAATAGAAAACACACGTAAACTAATTCGGGCCTTTCATTCACAAACTTTGACTCGGAAAATGTATTTAACGAAAATGGACCCCAACATTTACGAGTTGAATGCCTTTATCTCAGCCTTATGATCATTAAAACCTATTTGCGACGGACATTTTAATTTTTGTGAACAATACCTTCTCAGATTTCCTAGAAGAATACATTTTTAATTCTAGAAAAATTGTTCACCATTAATGGAACTTGATGCAGATTTAAGTGTTGAGAAAAAAAATACATTTCTAATTTTTACATTTAGAGTAAAGACTTGTAGACAATCTTAAATTGAATTGAGAAATCCAATTTGCTTCAACAGTTGTAGGAACTCATAACCTTGGGGGAATTATGTAACTCTTACAGCACAGCAAAATAAAATAATTACAGGGTGGTCAGAATAAAAGAATATTTTCAAGTTTATATTGTCTGATCTAACAAAGTTTAAATCTTGTAACAAAAGGTCTACAATATCTGGTTTCAAAGATATGAGGATTAGAAAATCAGAGTTTGTGGCAAGCACTCAGTTGTTCTCTGGGTTCAGCTATTTTTGGTTTTAAGTTTCATTTAATCAAAAATATCTTTCTAAATATAATCCTAAAATGGCAGTATTTGGCTGTACTTGTACATCAATTCTGATAAAAGCCCACTCCAGTTTACAATTTGCAGATTAAATGAGTTTTCAAATATAGGATTTATTCTATATATCAGGATACAAGATATAGGATATTCCAGAGGGGTCATTCTAAAACAAATGAGACAATTATTTGACAATCTCTAATCTGGCTAAAATTTTGCACACAGAAAAAAACATATTTCATTTTACAAAATCTTTTAATGACCTCCGGGGTCAGAGTGGAAGGGCAGCAACATTTTGAAAAATTTAAATTATATGAGAAAATGTTTTTTTTTAGATTGTGCAAATTTTTTTTTTGTAAAAGTCAAATTTTAACTTAACTTTTAGATAAACATTCTTATAATTAAATTTGCTGAAAAAAAATTTTAAAATATTTTAAGAGTTAAATAAAACAAAAAAACATAAGCTATTTAAAACAATTCTCTTTTGTAAAGTATATTCATTTAAATTCTGTATTAGTTTCTAAAAAAAACGTTGCTATCGACTCCTTGGGTATGTTAAGAACAAAAAATCTCAAAAATCATAATATATGTTATTTATTGCTTTTTGGGTTCTAGGAATCCATTTTTCAGGTCAAAGGTCACTCTGAAGGGCTGATCCCTATTATAGTTTCTTTAAAAACTCAAAAATAACAAAATATTAATAGTTTCCTTTCTTAAAATAATCCAATTAAAATAATTCTTTTAATGCTTATAATCTGTCCAAGAACTGATAATGAGGATACATTTCTACCTCTTCACTAGGTATTGGATATTCCTCAGGTGAAAACCTTTGATTGGGATAGCGCCTAGTTTCAGCGCCTAAACTAGATATCCACTGAACAAGCTTTTTTGATAACGTATCTCAGTCACAGGACCAGCTAAAGTGATTTTTTTATGTCATTCAAATTTAAATTAAGTATAGCATTTTACTCTTATTATTTGTTGCATGATCCAAGCGGGTACAACATGTACTGTATATGCATTCAGTCGTACCGTCCAGTCTAGACTACCCAGAGCAAAGTCAACCCAGCACGTGTATCCTGGCAAGATCCCAGTGATATCCAATCATGGATTGGAATCCCAGTATATTTACTAACGTAGTACGAGGATATGGCCGGTACGAATAAAGTATAGCGGCCATCGTTAAAGAATACATCAAGATTATTTCATCGAGTTTAAGAATTTCCATTATTACATTTTTTCCTCATAAGATTATCATATTCTATTCTCTTTGTTCATACTTCCCAACCCTAGATTAGAGCGGATTTTGATCAAGAGAAATTAACTTCTCATTAAATGCAGACTCCTGGAAAAGCGTCTCCTTTGAAAATATCGTTCAGAATAATATTTTTTGTGCAAAAAATCCAAAAATAAAAACATACTTTTTTAAAGCATGAATAAGATATTTGTCCACCATATTTGATAAATACATGCAGAAACCATGTTTATGAAAATCTGCAAAACTGGGTTTTCTGGGCTACAATGTTAATAATTTGCCTCGGAACAAACTTTTTATCCCAGGGCCGGATTAACAAATTTAGAGTAAACAATGTGGGATAAAAACTTTTTGAAAATTGGATTATACTAATTAAAGTTTAAAGTTTATTAAGTTTTCTAGCAAGGAGTTCAGCAAAGAAAAGAACTAGAAAAAAAGTTCATTCTTCCATTTTAAAACAGACCTTCATAAGATAAGATTAAGACCGGGATAAAAGTTTTTTAAACAAAAAATTCAATTCTTTTCCTCCAAAATTTTCCCAGCTAAATATTTGTTCTCTGTAGTCCTTGATATTATTTTGAAGAAATTAAATTCTTTTCCTCCAAAATTTTGCCAGCTAAATATTTGTTCTCTGTAATCCTTGATATTATTTTGAAGAAATTAAATTTTTTCTCAAACATTACAAAGATATTTTAGTATAGTTCAAAATTGTGAATTATGAAATACAGAAGATAAATATAATACATAGGCAACATAGTGCATCAATGTTGTTTTAAATTGAAGTAAAAAATGTTTTCTTATATTCTTTTTATTTTCTGTTCTTTCATATCGAATCGAGAAAAAACTAAATTTCAAACTTTTTGTGCAAGCACAATTGTGTAAGAAATCTATGGACCAAAAAAGTAAGAAACCCCGTCAACTGTCATTGATTGTTTTAACAAACATATTACAATCTCTCTATTTAAGAATTGAATACCCAAACTAAATTAACATTCTATTTGTTCGGGTCCATTTTCAAGTTATTATACCTACCCAATAATGTCGACATTGTAACTTAATAAAAGATAAGAAAATATCTATAAATCATAAATACATATTTCAAATGCCTTGATTGATTGATATTTTACTTGTTAATATTTTCGTTGAATAAACTCAATTCCAAAATTTTAAATCAAGGTTCTAGCCGCTACTTAATATTTTTTTAAATATCCCTCATCCAAACCAGAAAAAGAAAATGTGATAAAAGGTTTGAGCACAGTTCGCTTCTAAAGTTGTCTTGCGATGCATTTTGTCTGAAATCTAATTTCCAGATGTATCTAAATCTACCAGTTTTATAAATAGAAACTAAAACTAGCTAAATCAAATCTTCAGAATGAACCAGAATAGATCTCAGTTTCAATGGAAGCTCTAACTCAAATAAAAAGATGAGTGTCCACGTATCCCTTTTAAAAAATCTAATCTCTCTTGAATTTTGCAATCGTTTAAATTATTAACTTTTAGTCCAAGATATATACTATTTACTGTTATAAATGGTTGAAAAGAAAATATTCCTGATCTGGGCCTCCTGTCAGAGAAAATCCCCAGGGAGTAGATGTAGTCTTCCTCCTCAAGTGTACAGTCAACATATGTTTCGCCATTTTTTCTAAGAGAAAAGTCACCTTTTATAGGCATGTCAAAAGGAATTATTAAACACCTACAGAGTACAGTACAGGTCAGAGTTTATATCAATACAATGAAGACGACTTTTCTAGTTAGGTTTAAATTTCTAACAATAAAGAGAATCTGATAATTGACAGCTTCTCTTTGTTTCCATTTTTATGTTCATCCAAGCTGTTGGAGAGCTTGGTAGAAATCAAAATTGAAATAGAAAGTAGTTTTCATTGTATTGATAAATACGACGACGAGTGTACTAAATAATCTTTTTTATACCAATAAATATATAGAGAATAGGAACGCCTATAAGTGAATTTTATCAGAAGATGAAGCTGAGATGAAAACTTCAGTATGGGGGATATCGAGATCAATGCTTGATCTTCTCTTTTTCTAAATCTCCAGATTAAATATTGCTTGTTCTCATCTTATTATTAATCTCCAGATTAATTAACCAAATGGGATTAAGGATATTTAATTCTAAAGTTTTCAGCTCTGAGAAGTTCACAGTTTGCTAATGTAATCTATTCTCTTTGTATATTTGTACGTATCATGAAATTTTTAAAACTTGATTTAACCGTTTTGCATATCGGAAAAACATTTTCAACTTATACGGCTAAAATTTGGCATAAAGTCCAAAAGCCGGAAAAGTGCCAAGTCGATCACCCCAAGACTACTACTAGTCCTTTCATTTCAGTGTTATTTTTTAGCATAGTATGTTTTCATAATTTCAGTGTTATTTTTTAAGCATAGCATGTTTTCATAATTTTAGAATGGTTGTGTACAGCAAATTTCAAAGATTTGTCCAATATCGTGATTTATAAGATTTAAAAAGATTTGTAACAGGATCCTTCGAAGTACTTTAAATCGTTCAAAACTTCTTTTTTTTACGATGAAAATACATTATTTACAATTATTTTGAGCTCTTTCAAAGTTAAACTCAATAATTTTATAAATAATATACTAAACATTCAATAAATGTTAAACTAACATCTACTTTGTTTACTCTACAGAGGTTTGGTCCATCACCATCACCGAATTTAAAAAAAACAAATACTATTGAAAATAATTGCTCTCTTCAATCTGTGATTTCTTTTCTTTATCCGAAGCCTTTTTTTGTGGAAAAAATTGTTTATTTTTACAGAAAAAAGTAAGAAAACGGCAATTTGATATTTTTCCGATTAAAAAAGTTAAAATAAAAATAGCATTATTGTAAAGAGGGCATATACTCGTATAGGCCCTTGTACTCCTTGTTCACTACACGTTCTCCACCCTCACTACTAAGTACTGAGGCTCCTTTCCAGGTATTGTCTTGACAAACAATTCTCCAGGAGGCCTTTAGTACTGGGCAATGTTACGGGCAGAGCAGGATAGATAGATAGTTAGATAGTTAGATAGATAGATAGATAGTTAGATAGTTGCTGATGTAAACTTGTTTTATATATTCTCATACCTGCTTCTTTACAGTCAATATATACAACTTATGTTTAACTAAAAGACATGTCATACTTGTTCCTTCTCAGTTCCTGGTATCAGTTACCCTGTTCCTTCCTAGTTGCTGGTCTCAGTACCCTGTTCCTTCTCAGTTCCTGGTCCTAGTACCCTGTTTCTTCTCAGTTCCTGGTCTCAGTACCCTGTTTCTTCTCAGTTCCTGATCTCAGTTCCCTGTTCCTACTCAGTACCTAGTCTCAGTACTCTATTCACTCTCTGTTCCTGGTCCTAATACCCTGTTCCTTCTCAGTTCCTGGTCCTAGTACCCTGTTTCTTCTCAGTTCCTGGTCTTAGTACCCTGTTCCTACTCAGGCCCTAGTCTCAGTACCCTATTCCTTCTCTGTTCCTGGTCCTAGTACCCTGTTCCTACTCAGTTCCTGGTCTCAGTACCCTGTTCCATTTCAGTTCCTGGTCTCAGTACCCTGTTCCTTCTCAGTTCCTGGTCCTAGTACCCTGCTACTTCTCAGTTCCTGGTCCCAGTACCCTGTTCCTTCTCAGTTCCTGGTCTCAGTACCCTGTTCCTACTCAGTCCCTGGTCTCAGTATCCTGTTCGTTCTTAGTTCCTGGTCTTAGTGCCCTGTTCCTTCTCTGTTCCTGGTCTCAGTACTCTGTTCCTACTCTATCCCTGGTCTTAGTATCCTGTTCCTTCTCTGTTCCTCGTCCCAGTACCCTGTTTATACTCAGTTCCTGGTCCTAGTACCCCGCTACTTCTCAGTCCCTGATCTCAGTACCCTGTTCCTACTCAGTTCCTGGTCCCAGTACCATTCTACTTCTCAGTCCCTGGTCCCAGTACCCTGTTCCTACTCAGTTTCTGGTCCTAGTACCCTGTTCCTTCTCTTTTCCTTGTCCCAGTACCCTGTTCCTTCTCAGTTCCTGGTCCTAGTACCCTGTTCCTTCTCTGTTCCTGGTCCCATTACCCTGTTCCTACTCAATCCCAGTACGCTGTTGCTACTCAGTTCCTGGTCCGAGTACCCTTTTCCTTCTCTGCTCCTGGTACCAGTACCCTGTTCCTTCTCAGTTCCTGGTCTCAGTAACTTGTTCTTAAAAGTAGCAACTAGAAAATAGTGTATTGATTGTCGTCTTCTTTCATGCTTTTTATCATGCAATGTTGCCAGCGATGTTGTAAGCTGTAACTAATTTGTTTCTGAAAATGTACTCTTAACATTTTTTAGACATATGTAACTTGTAACACACGGTTTTAATTGCACTTACTTATAATAGCACCAGTCAGATGAGAGCTTGTATGCTTTCTCATTAGTGCTTTGCTAGACGCGTTAACCCTATCTCTGCTGGGGTACTTGAAAACCAGTATATGCTGGGGATGGGGGTCAATTTGACCCCCCCTCTAAATCCCATGTTTGATGTCCAAATATGAAAAATGATACTTCATTGGAAAGCTCTTGTGCTCTACTTTTAGAATCTACAAAAAAAATTGCAAATTTGCAAAAATTGAATTTTTTATCGCAAAATCCAGTTATATAGTAAAAATGTTTGCAAAAAAAAATTTTCCAAAAAATGAAAAATTATACATTTTTGAAAAGCCCTTGACCATGCCATTTCAAATATGCAAAAATTTTAATTTTTAATCAAGAAAAACTAAAAATTACATAGTATAAAATCCATAAAAATATTTTTATCAAAATAATTAATGTTCTATTGAATACTGCATAAACTTAAGCACTGTAAACTCCCAGTTCCAAGACGCAATTTAGTATTTTAATCATTTAGTTCTTTAGAACTTAAAATGTGCAAGTCAGAACCTTTTTGAGATTTGCAAGTGTTTGAGTTTATTTTCTCCAATCTTCTAGACCCAATCAAGCAGTACGATCCAATTACCGTTAATTCGAGTTTTTTTTTCATTCATTACAGAAAACAGAAAAAAACCACGAAAACAAATATTGCGCAAAATAGACGAAAAGAGCCCTTGACATTCTCAATCTTATTTTACCAAATATTAGGAAAACCAAAAAACAGAGCTGCAAAACACAGGGTGTCCTTTTAATCTTGCCAATTTTTAAATTGTTGTAACTGGATTCACTTCTTTTTCTTTAACAAGTGTTAAAATGACCGCCATTTTCTTGCATAATAAGGGTCTAGTGCGAAAATTGACTAAAACTTTAGGAAGTTTTTTGGCCGGATTGACTTTGAAGATTAACTATTCAACGTCAATCCGGCCGAAGGAGGTATCAACGAATTTTAGCTCTTAACCTTGGCTATCTTAGTGCAAAATTAGTTTTATCTAACCAGCCTTGACTCAAAGAAAGGTGAAACTGTGCGCAATACGTTTTATCGAAATACTGGAGTATAGGAAAACTATATTTGTGTTTTTTTTCTGCAATACATGTTGCAGATATTTTAGGGTTTCCAACGTAATAGATTATTCTCTTACGCGTAATTACGTGCAGTTACGCGTAATAATTTTCATTTCGTGTAATTTTGCAGGATTACGCGTAATTGGGGAAATATTCATTTCGCGAAATTACGGCGTAATTTCGCGTAATTTCTACAACGTAATTTCGCGACATTTCGTAATGATTACGCGTAATAAGCGAAACTATAATTACGCATAATTACGGCCTAATTTCGCGTAATTTCTACAATGTAATTTCGCAAAATTTTGTATTAATTAAGCGTAATTAGCAAAACTTCAATTTCTACAAAGTAATTTTGCGAAATTTTGCAATAATTACGTCTATGAAATTTTGAAGTTTTAACTTTTAATTTAAATAATAATTACAGATATAATTACAAGAAATAATCAGTTTTATTATTATATTATCAAAATACATATATAATTTTAATCACCTACATTGAAAAAGGACAGACTCAAATATTCTAATCCCTAAATCTTTGCACCGAGTGGTGTAAATCTTTGATATTTCAAACTTAGAATATTTCACCAAAATTGCACATTTGAATTATTTTCGTGCAAATTTTATAGATATTCAATTTTAAAATCAACCTTTTTTAACAACAAATTCTAGGGGCCCCAGGATTCTAGGGTGTTATTTACCCCCTGGATTCTAGGGGGGGGGGGTATTTCCCCCCGGGTTTTTGGGGGGGGGGTATATAACCCCAATAACCCCCCTATTTTACGCCACTGATATTTCAACCTACTTTCTCAAGTTTAACTTCCTTGTTTGAAAAAAATGTCAATAAAATCGTCAAAATATTTTTGACAGGCATATCCCTACACACACTGTCCCGTTATAATTATTTCTGAGAATTAATATGTACTTTATTTATTAGTTTTGTATTACGTAATTTCGCGTAATTACGCCTTAATTACGCGAAACTAGTCTTTCTTTCGTAAACGTAATAAATGCGTAATTACGCGTAATGCTCCTGCGTAAGTGAAAGAAAGTGTTACGCGTAATTACGCGTAACGTAATTACGACTGTAAACCCTAAGATATTTTGTTTATTACAAAACGTTCATATTAAAGTTGCTCGAATCTTTTTACAGGTTGTAAAAATTCCAAAAAATGTCAGAGCTCATCGGACAGGGTGTATGTATTTAAGTAAGTGTTGTTTGTATTGTGTATAGTGTTTTTAATTGTTAAATAAAATATCTATATTGAAAAAAATTGTTTTCTCTCATGGTATTTAGAAAATATTAGCATTGGATATGGAGGCGCACAAACACCGGAATTTGTTTTATAAATCAATAAAATCTGAATTTTACTAATCTATATTACTGTATTTTAAATTCATTAATATAATGAAAAAATATTACTTCAAATAATAATTGTAATTAAAAAATCGATTTATATTTAATTAATCTGCTCTGAGGATATCATGATATAAAGATTATTTTGTTTATATTTTAGAATATAAAAATATTTTCTTTCCACTTCAACATTGTCCCTAGAAAAAGGAGGGCATCGCTACTTGAATCCCTAATTACCTGAATACATAAATACACAAACACACCCAAATTTTGTATGCTCAGTAGTTATTCCTATTCCCTGTTAGGAACCCTAGCTACGAATCCATAAATTCGTACTGCCTTGCTAATTTAACCTTGCATTTTTATGTTAAAAACCAGTTTTTTTTCATTACTTTCACGTCCAATTTCCTTTCTTTAAAAAACCTGGTCAAAGTTTTTTTGATTCAATTTTTACACTACTTTTTCATGGAAGGGGCGGGGGCTTTTCCTCCCCCTCTGCCATCCATACTTTCTTTCCTTCTCCCCCCCCCCACTCTACCTTCCATCCCTCCCCCCCATCCACAGTAGTTTTCTATCTCCTTTCTCCTTCTCTCTTCCCCTTCTCTCTTCTTTCATGTTTACAGTTTTCTTTTACCTTCTCTTTCCCTAAAGAAAGTAATGTGCTGAATAATCTGTTCCAAGGAAAGTAACTGCTGAATAATCTCGTCCAAACTAAGTAATGTGCTGAATAATCTGTGTCAATGAAAATAACGTGCTGAATAATCTCTTCCAAGGAAAGTATCGTGCTGAATAATCTGTGCCAATGAAAATAACGAGCTGAATAATCCCTTCCAATGAAAGTAACGTGCTGAATAATCTGTTCCAAATTAAGTAATGTACTAAATAATCTGTGTCAATGAAAATAACGTGCTGAATAATCTCTTCCAAGGAAAGTAAAGTGCTGAATAATATGTGTCAATGAAAATAACGAGCTGAATAATCTCTTCCAATGAAAGTAACGTGCGAAATAAACTCTTACAAACTAAGAAATATGCTGAATATTATGTGTCAATGAAAATAAGGTGCTGAATAATCTCTTCCAAGGAAAGTAACGTGCTAAATAATCACTGCAAAGAAAGTAATGTGCTGAATAATCTGTTCCAAGGAAAATAATGTGCTGAAAAATTTGTTGCACTGAGAATAACTTGCTGAAAATCTTTTCCAGAGAAAGAAACGTCTTTTGCTAGTTGCAAAAATGCCGTACTTTTAATATAGCTAATTCTCATCTTATTCTGAAAAGAAATATTTAAAATTTCAAACAACATGTTTATTCTCAGCTTCTTAGAGATCTTGGATAATACCCAACCTTTCACATCAGTGTAAACATTACCTTGAAAATACATTTTCAAAACATTTTTAAGTCATTTTAAAACAATGCAAAATCTCGAGAAATCTTCCTTGTAAAAACAGACCGTGTCTTTCTAAAAAAGTATGTTTTACAGCGTTTTGAGATCAAGTCTTTTGTGTGAATATTGTTAATATTGAACGCTTGATCTCGATATTCAAAGTGGGCACTTTTAAATCTGAGGATCAATGATTGACCCCTCCAGTATATCTATCCCTGCAGGGACCCTCAAGGGATACCGAAGAGAAATTAGATTAATCTGTAGATCTGCATAAGGAATTAAACATTGAGGAAAGTAGTACAGCTAATTGAAGTTTGCAAAAACAAAAATGGGATTACAATTACAAATATATATTCGGCCATGTTTTTTTTTTTATATTTTTATCATTAGAAAAAAACACCCATCCCATCAACTTCCATTAAAAAAATGTGTACTGCAGTTTCTGGGTAGAAATGTAAACAAAGCCAGCATGGACAGTACTTCGCTTAAAGCAAGGTTATAATGCAAGGAAAGTTAATTGTAGTACGCGTATACTCTGCGTACATTATTGAAACCAGTTCTCTCTGTCCGGAATTTGTAAACAAGAATAGATGCATCAGTGTTCGTTTAGTATCCGAGGAGGAAAAAAGCATTGAATTTTGAAAATTTTGAAACGACGAGTTAATCTTCCGTCTTTGGATTCCTTTTGAATACTAACTTTTTGTTTCGGTTTTAGCCCAGGCTATTTCTATTTCCTTCTGCCTCATGTCAAGCCGTGTCCCATGCCTATTGGCTTGAATTCAAACTTAGAAAATATGATTCCTGGTCCAACAGGGGCTTTGGTTCTACACGCGCCCAAACATGCATTCAAAGCATTCTCTGGGTTGGCATTTTTTAACGGCCGAATCATTTTACACGATATAGATGAGATGACTTGTTATCCGTCCCACTCCTATTGTTAACTGTAGTTTATTTACAAATAAGCCTCTCTCCATGTTTACAATACATTTTTTAAAACGATGTTTGTCAACGAGTTAATAGAATTTATTTTCAGAATCTTTTAAGATATTACAATTTGTTAAGAAGCTAATATGAGTTTGAATGAAGGTGCAGACAAGATGTTTACAAGTGCATACAATTTAATGATTTCAATAAAATTTAATATTTATAAATTTTACTGGTTAAAGGGACTGTAAGCGTAATTTCAAGCGACCTTTCACTTATGAGATGCATGTTCGATTCCCACTAGTACCCTTTAAACCTTTGTCCGGCTAACAAAGAGGTAGATTCTCTCATTGGTATAATATAGATTGAGTGCAGTGTGAACTATACACTCCATGCTGTTGTACACTCCCGGGGTAATTCTTGGCACTTAATTTCCCGCTTTATAAATCCTTAATTAAACAAAGATTTAAAGGGGTTTGTTGTAAATCAGACATGATGTGCCACTCCATAAATCCAAGGTCACTTGAAATTACGCTTACAGTCCCTTTAAAATATATTGAAATTGAAGGATTTGTAAATAGAGTTAAATATCAGGATTGAAGCAAAAAATAAAAAAAAGTTGGTCAACACATATTTAACTCCTTTCCCGGAAACATTTCTCAAAGAACTAAGGAAAATGGAGCAGAAAGTTCAATAAGTAAGTATTGTACAAATAGAAAATTTAGATTAAAAAATTTGAATATAAAAAGTTGTAAACTAGCATGATAAACACATAATAAAATACATAACTTCAAAGTCAAGGTAATAGTGTAAATTCAGAACTATTTAACTATAAGGGAGATTTTAGGATTTTTAAAAAGAGGTGTAAGAACGAAATTTAATCAAACGAGAAAAAACATCAATTTTAAGAATGGCCCAAAGGATAATAACTACTTTTCAAATACACGTTTTTTTAGCATTTTTTTAATTCGGCCCTTGGACCCCCTCTTTAATATTCATAAGCAATCCCTTATATATTGACCAAGGAGGTAAACCTTGTAATAAACTAAACAGATTAGAAATCACAGATGCAGTCGAAATCTGACATTTTAACTTAATATAGTTTATATAATAAATATATATATATATATGTAATATGTATTTTTGTAAAAAGGGCGGGATTCAAGCGTATAGAAACTGTAAGAGTATGGAAAAAACATTAAGTATTAAGGAATTGTAAAGTTAAATAATTTGACTGAATTCTTACAACCTGTTGGAATTTTCCTACACTGGGAGAATAGTTGACAATTTCTGTTTTACAAACTATTTATAATTTTATCGAAATATGTCTCTAGTAGGGGCTGTGTCCATGAATATTGATTAGAAAGGGCGATGTAGTATTAGAAAACTAGTTCCTTTATATCGACTATTTCTCCCAGGTCGATATTCATAAAAGTTTTTCATAAGCTTCATAAATCTAGAGAAGTTTTGAGAAGTTTCAACATGCTTCGAGCTAAGGTAGAGTTTAGAGAAGAAGAATATAGTTGAAAAAAGATGGATAGTTTGATTTCACTATTCAAGGTTCAGAAAGGATGGAGGGTTGGGTTTCACTATCCAAAATTCAGAAAAGATGGAGGGTTGGGTTTCCGTTTCATTAACCAATGTTCAGAAATGATGGAGGGTTGGGTTTCACTAACCAAGGTTCAGAAAGGATGGAGGGTTGGGTTTCACTAACCAATGTTCAGAAAGGATGGAGGGATGGGTTTCACTATCCAAGTTTTAGAAAGCATGGAGGGTTGGATTTCACTATCCAAGGTTTAAAAATGGATGTAGGGTTGGGTTTCACTATCCAAGGTTCAGAAAGGATGGAGGGTTGGGTTTCACTATCCAAGGTTCAGAAGGAATGGAGGTTTGGGTTTCACTAACCAAGGTTCAGAAAGGATGGAGGGTTGGGTTTCACTAACCAAGTTTCAGAAAAGATAGAGGGTTGGGTTTCACTATCCAAGGTTCAGAAAGGATGGAGGGTTGGGTTTCACTATCCAAGGTTCAGAAAGGATGCAGGGTTGGGTTTCACCAACCAAGGTTCAAAAATGATGGAGGGTTGGGTTTAACTAAACAAAATTAAAGAAAGCTGGAGGGTTTGGTTTCGTTAACCAAGAAAATTTGAGCTCAGAGTATGAGTTTTTTTGTGAACCTGGATAAATTGCAATATTAACCTCATTATTAATGTTTGTGAAGGTGCAAAATATCAAACCTTAGAAGGTCTTTAATCCTTTGTCTTCAAAAGAGATAAAATCTAATAATAGTCTTCCTTGTCTCCGCTGTAAAAGTCGCTTTTAAAGAGAAACCACGATTAAAACTCGTCAATTTTAAGATTAAGAAAAAGATATTTTCATCATTTACGGTTTATATTCATTTGTTGGACCCAAGATGAGATTTTTTAGCAAATCTGAATAAATTTGAAAAAGACGGAGTTTTTGCTTTACATAAATTTATAAAAAGGAAAAGATAAATTGAAAAATAATCAACGAATCCTTGTGAAAATAACCTTCTTTGTAAATTCATTGTTTTAAGACTAATCTTTTAACATCCATGGTTCAGATTCAAATTTACTTTCAAGGTTAAAGAAAGTGTAATATTTTAGTAGAAACTCATTATTTTACAGAAATTTTAAGCTATTACTTAAATTTCGCGCATTCTTTAGGTTTAGGCTCATATCGATATATTTTGATATTTTTTTCGATCTTTTTAGGTTTTTTATTAAATTAGCTCGCAGCCGGCCATCTTTAAAAATTTCATTATTTATTTTGGAAAGTTCTTATAATCTTAAGAGATATATATCTTATCTTTTTTAATCCAATATTTTTCAAATTTGGTGCAAATGCACTTGTAAAATATAGGAGGAGCTAATGTAAATTATTAATATCTCCACATTTATTGAATGATATTGCAATTTCCTTATTTGGATGTTTAATCACACTCGCCCAGTGTTTTAATCGTTCTCCCTTGCATCCTAGTCCCAGCACCAAACCACCTAAACAATTCAAATTATATAGTCTTTATTTTCAGGTTCGAGCACAACTATGGATGAAATTAGAATCCAAAATTATCCAAAACAAGGCTTCGCACCATATTTTTTTTATAAAAACCTGTTTTTGGCTATCCTACAAAAACCTGGAATAAGCATTTGATCGACTGTATAAATGATAAAAGTTAAAGAAATAAACTTTATCTTGTCGTAAAATTTATTCTTATCAAGAATACGAAAAAATGTTACTTTTCGTTTCAGCAGTATGGTTTTTATATTTTATATTACGGACTGTTGAGAAAAATGGAATAGTTCTAAAAATCCGTTTAACATAATGCATTCAGATATTTCAGCTATTTGCTGAGAGCTCTTTGTAAAGAAAGCTCGAATAAAATAACACAAGTATATTCGAAAATAAAATCTGTTTAGGATGAATGAATGATGAATGAATGACAGAGCTATAAAATAAAGAATACCTTATAAAACAAAAGAAATATATAATTATAGAGCATAGAATATATATTAGAGTAGAATTTACTAGAAAAAGTGTAAAACGGCCATTTTGTTTTACTGTTTCCATACTGCAGGTGTACTTCACATATTTATGATATATAACCTTTTGGGCCCTGGAACATCATTTTATAAAAAAGTTTCAAATTAATATTAAAAGAAAACCAAATTATGAAATAGGCTGGTTTCATAATTGACCAATGATCAATTCACATAGACTCTCTGCCTTTCACTTTACAAACGATGATTTACCGTTATAACTATAAATCAAATGATGTTTTTACTCGAAATTGAAAGGGATAGTCTAGAAATCACACTGTATTTATGTACTCTACTGCAATTTTTGAACATTTACATAATTTGTACACTTTGAACTCCGTTTCAGGCTGAAAGGTACTGAAAAATTCATACCGAGGGATTGTCTAAATTCCACTTTAATATATATTCTATATATTCTCTTTGTATTTAACACCAAAAAACATCAACTAAAAATCCTCGGACAGAAACAAAGATTTGAAAGGAAATATTTATAAACTAAAAGAGATTATTTGAATAGTTTGTGTAAAAAAGAAAAATGAATTTAATGACTAATTACCCAAATAATCTTCTGGTACATCCTTGTTGTAACTCCATAGTGTAACAGATAAACTCTGCTTTGGTAGATCAGTGATATTTGTCAAGTAAACAAACTAAATATATATATATTCATTATTCAATACTCATCATGTAAATATATATATTCATTATTAATACTCATCATGTAAATATATATATTCATCAAGTAAACAAACTAAATATTTATATATTCATTATTCAATACTCATCATGTAAATATATATATTCATTATTCAATACTCATCCAGTAAATATATATATTCATCAAGTAAACAAACTAAATATTTATATATTCATTATTCAATACTCATCATGTAAATATATATATTCATTATTCAATACTCATCCAGTAAATATATATATTCATCAAATAAACAAACTAAATATTTATATATTCATTATTCAATACTCATCATGTAAATATATATATTCATTATTCAATACTCATCCGGTAAATATATATATTCATCAAGTAAACAAACTAAATATATATATATATATTCATTATTCAATACTCATCCAGTAAATATATATATATTCATTATTCAATATTCATCCAGTAAATATATATATTCATCAAGTAAATAAACTAAAAATATATATATTCATTATTCAATACTCATCCAGTAAATATTCATCCATAAAATATATATATATGCATCAAGTAAACAAACTAAATATGTATATTCATTATTCAATATTCTTCCAGAAAATATATATATTCATTATTCATTCTGTTCTGTGTTCTGTGTTCTGTGATCTATGTTCTTTGTTCTGTGTTCTGTGTTCTTTGTTCTTTGTTCTGTGTTCTTTGTTCTGTGTTCTGTGTTCTGTGTTCTGTGTTCTGTATTCTGTGTTATATTATCTACGTTCTGTGTTCTGTGTTCTGTGTTCTGTGTTCTGTGTTCTGTGTTCTGTGATCGGTGTTCTGTGTTCTGTGATCTGTGTTCTGTGTTCTGTGTTCTGTGCCCAATTTAATGAAATTGTATCGATAATCAATAAGCAGCAAGATCCAACAGATTCATAAAATACAGATCTCAAGAAATTTGATATTTGTTTTATCCCCCCATTTTCATATGTTGAAAATTCAAAAACCAATTTTTGTAATACATTTAGGGGCGTATCCAGAGGAGGGGCCGGGGAGGGGAGGGGGAGGGAACAATGCTCAATCTATACACTGTAGAAATCCTAAAAATCTCATTCTCCATTTATTTTGAAAGGTGAACAACAAAGAAATTGAGTTTTTGCCACGAACCTACATTTTTTAATAGCTAAATCTTTGTAAGCTGATTATGTAAACCTTTGACACTTCAAACTTAGACTATTTGATCTAACAGAGTTTAAAATATATATAATCTACGACTTTTGGCTTGCCAGGATTTTGGATTAAAAAATTAGAGTTTGTGACTCATTCATTTCTGGGGGGGGGGGGATCCCTCCTAGGGGAAGAAACCCTGTATACGCCCATGTACCTGTTCATTGTACTCAGGATCAGGTGTTTTCCACTTCATTGTTGTTTTTCTTTTGTTGTCTCCATTGTTTTCCGGCAGAAGTGTACTGCAAAATAATATAAATCAAGGTTTATGCAGAAAAAAAGTGTCCTAGAGTTTTCTTCCGAAACTACATTACAGTTTTAAACATAGACATAAGGGTTTCTAGAAAAATGTATTATACTGTGGCGGAAGACGATCTAGTCTGAAGAGTCTGGAGCCGGATATCAAGACGCGGCAAGCTGAGCGTTTTTCCTGCCACGTCACCATCTATATACAAAATTATTCGATGTTTTAAATTTGCAATAAGTTATTTATCAGTTAATAAAGTAATTATTTAAACCCGGCGTTTGTTAAACTGAGTGTGGCTAAATTGGTGACCCCAAGTTCGATTACTATAGGCTGTTTGTTTCCTCGCCGCTATAGACTTTAATTAGCTACACCCTCAAGTGATAATGCCTCAGGACAGTGATAATGTCCGGGTCCAAGCTGAACCCAGCTCGCTGGACCTATTAAATACAGTTTCAGTGAAAGTTCCAGCTTTTTGGCCAGATTCTGCGGATCCTGGTTCGTCCAGGTTGAGGCTCAGTTTGCCCTCAAGGGAGGGACCGTCAGTTCCACCAAGTTCTACTACTGCGTCTAATCGTTCAACCAGGAAACTGCAAACCAGGTTCTGGATCTTATCAATCTCCTCCGTCTTCCGAACCTTACGAAGCTTTGAAGAACCAATTGTTGAAGTTGTTTGCTCTCGACGACTTTCAAAGGTATGAAGCAATCTCTAACCTCCCTCTATCCGGTGATATGAAGCCATCAAAGCTCATGTCGAATATGCTTGCTCTACTGCCTGTTGGTCACAAACCGTGTTTCTTTCTCCGTGGAGCGTTTCTCAAGAGATTGCCTGCCGACGTTCGAGCTCACCTACTCAGGGATGATTTTTCTGATCCTATATTCTTGGCCTTGAAAGCAGATGAAATCTATCAGAGCAGAGTTTCTGTATATGTCGTTTCTAGCGCCCTGGAGTTCTCTGTCAACGCCGTTAGATCCTCAGCTACCAACAGGCCCCGCCGTTCAGCTACTCCTCACGCCAGCAGCCACCAGGATAACAGATCATTATCTCCTACCCTGTGTTACTACCATCACTCCTGGGGTTCTAAGGCCAATAAATGCAGAGCTCCGTGTTCCTGGTCGGGAAACTAGTTCACTGGCAGGAGGATGTTCATACCCTACCTGCCGGGCCCTCTACCTCATCTCCTTTAATTTATCTACAGGATTCCCTGAGTTCAAGGAGATTTCTCATTGACTCTGGTGCCTCTTTTCCTGCTCCAAAATTATGCTTAAAAATTCAAAGAAGCGTTGCAATAATGGTGCCCCCCCCCCCCCCTGTGTTTGTGGTGGGTTCTTGTGACCCAAATTTCACATGAGAATATTGACAATGACAAAGGAACTGAGGTTTTTCCAAAGGAAATAAGATTTTTTTTTCATAGTTCTCTGCAATCCAACGTCGAAGACCGTAGAGATTTCTAACTATAAATTCTTTCAGATCATATATTCTGAGTTTGTAATATAAAATTCTTACACCCTTAGTTTTCAAAGATATACGGATTAGACGATTTTAATTTGTGGGGAAAATTCAATTCCTTTAATCGAATTTACTTTTACAAAAACAAATATTTGAAATGAGGTTGTAAGAGTTACAATCTAACTAGAAGACTCAGGTATCTCTTTTACAAGATGCAACTCAATCAGGAACTCAAGGTTCACATAAATACCATAGCCAATATCAATCCGGATACGACTCAGTCTGTATTCTCAGGTATCTGTCTTAAAAGATACAACTCAATGTAATTTCCAGTCTTTATCTATCTTCCAAGTTAGTGATTCAGGACGCCTCTTGTTCGCTAAACAAGAAGAATTACTCTCCCACCATTATCAAAGCGGAGTAAAATCCATCTAAATGTATTCTGGGTTTTATGTTACAAGTTAAGTTTTATCAGCGTAATTACAAGTTTTACGTCATTATATACAAACGTAATTTAGCTAATCATATTACGTAGTTATATACAGCGTAGTTATGATATATCCTGTTACTTAGTCATTACATCCCAGTTAAGATACATAATGCTATAGGTTTTACGTAGTTATTTACTAACGTAGATAACTAATAATGTACAACGTAGTTCAGGTTTACAGATATAGTGTTACACGATATTCATTATAACAGGATTTAAAATATTTTAGTTGGAGAAATTAGCATTTGTGTGTTCAAATGTGCTTAATAAACAAATATATATAACGTCAGTATAAAGAGAGGCAAGTGGGAGTAATATTGTATGCTTAAAAGCTATCATGGGAAATATAGTGTTAAATTTGATATCAAAATTATTTCTGAAAGTAATATCCCCCCACGCACATTCATGCTTTACATTCTATATAAAAAGGGATATTTTACATATTTTAAAATAGTTTTAATCTCTTAATTTTTGGAATTAAAAACACTTCTCAACATATTTTAGTTTGAGAGATCTAATTTCAAGTGACCCTCACACGCGGGTTTATTTGAAGTATAAACCGACTTTAAGGCAGCTAGCACAAGTTAACAGTGTAAATTCAATGATAAAGGCCATAGACGACAAAACGGAGCAGCACACTATATGAATCGTTCTCTTTTAAAGTTAGACTAATGATCCCATCAAGGATTTAATACGTTATCCTTGGTGAAATATAAGTGTAATTTTGACTAGTTGTACAATGTACAACGAGTCAAAATTAAATTGTCCTTTAAACATGAAACACAACAATTGTGCAGTTTAAACAGACCCATTTTACATCGCAAGAGATTAAATAAGTTGCTTGTAAAACTATTGGTTTGTAGCTACATCAAATACACTTAAGTTTTGCTTCAATGTCGTCTTCCTCCAGTTTTCTGATTCCTGCAATATAGAGCCCGAGTCGTCCGAAATTAACAGGCGTATCTAATACGTACTTTGTATGTCTCCATACTGTATAGTGTTTGTCCGCTAGATATCACCCAAAGTATAGGTGTCAGCAAATAATATACATTTACTATGCTTTCTATTTGTTTTCGCCGAGAGTGGTCGTGTTTCACCGGACGGCCACAGTCGAAGACGTCATATGTTTGCAAAAAGTACAAATTGGACGACTCGGGCTCTGTGTACAATGTACAGCTGGGAGTTGCCATTCTATGTTGCGCGCAATGCTCCGTGAAATTCCAAAACGGAGAGAGGGGGATTGCATTTTGTAGATCCAGAAAAATATTTAAATTAGTATTTATTTAGGGTTAGGTTAGGTTAAGACACTTTCTGGGCCGAGCGCTGCGGCTAGGACAGGCTAGGGGCCGAGCGCTGCGGCCACATGTCTTCCATTAAAGACCCCACCAGCTACCAGTCTCTACTCAGGCATTCCATAGATATCATTTTTCTGGATCTACAAAATTCAATCCCCCTCTCTCTGTTTTGGAATTTCACGGAGCATTGCGCGCAACAGAGAATGGCAATTGCCTGTACAGTTTTGAAAATATAAAAACTAACTTACACTCTAACGAAGGGGTTTACTTGCGCGTCTAGGGGAGATAGTCCTTTACAGCTGATAATAGAGACCTAAATAAATCGATTTATAAAAACTAATTTCAAGATTAAATTTCCAGTGATTAAAAAATTTATAGTGCTTAATTGATTTACTTAAACTTGTTCAATTTGTTTGATTTGCAGTTAATTATTTTTTACGGCAATTAAAAAAACAATTAATTACTTACAATACAAACCTATTTACTTTTATATTTACGAATATAATCTTTAAGAGAATGTATATCAATTTATTTATCTAAAAAGAATTTTCATCCCTCTCAATAAATGATTAACTTTTTTATATAAAATAGAAATTCAAAGACCCGAATTCATTTAAAGTTTTGACAGACAGGGTATTAGATTTTAATCAAAATCTTTTCGAAAAAAAGTTTAGTTGCGAAAAATTAAAAAAAAATCCAGAAAAGTTGATTGAAGAAAATTTTAGATTATTAGAAAAAAAATAAGAATACAAAAAATCATGAATATCAATTTTTAAGAAATTAATTTAGCAAGAAGATTAAATACAATGAAACAGACTTCAGAAGATGTGAGAATTTAGTAAAAAGTATTAGACTGAAAAAAATTCAACTTTTAGAAGGGGGAGGGTTTTAAATATTTATAATTTGCCATGCTATTTATTAAATTATCCAGTTTTCACCAATCTACAGTAAAATTTCCGAGATTTTACTTGGAACCAAGTTTAAAAAAAAAGAAAACTAGGTCGGTTTTACCAAATTTAGAGTCTTGGGCAAACTTGAAAAATCTCAGCTCTGATCTCGTGGATGGAAACATCGATATTTTCAATCAATACAGTTGGGTGACACAAGATGAAATATACTTATTCAATCTGTTCTAGTTTAATTACAAAGTTATATGAACAGTTTTATAGAAACTAAAGACCTACCTTTAGAGTTCCATGTTGTGAGTAGAAAGCTACAGATAAATCCATTTGTCCGCAATCACTAGCTACCAGGATACTGTCACTTCCATCCTAGAGATTAAACAGATAAAACCACTAGCTACCAGGATACTGTCACTTCCATCCTAGAGATTGAAACAGATAAAACCACTAGCAACCAGAATACTGTCACTTCCATCCTAGAGATTGAAACAGATAAAACCACTAGCAACCAGGATACTGTCACTTCCATCCTAAAGATTAAACATATAAATCCACTAACAACCAGAATACTGTCACTTCCATCCTAGAGATTAACAGATAAAACCACTAGCTACCAGGATACTGTCACTTTCATCCTAGAGATTAAACAGATAAAACCACTAGCAACCAGAATACTTTCACTTCCATCCTAGAGATTAGCCAGATAATTCCACTTGCTACCACTACCAGAATACTGTCGCTTCCATCCTAGTGATTAAACATATAAATCCACTAGCACCCAGGATACTTTCACTCCCATCCTGGAGATTAAACAGATAAATCAACTAGCAACCAGAATACTGTCACTTCCATCCTTGAGATTAACCAGATAATTCCACTAGCTACCAAGATACTGTCACTTCTATCCTAGAAATTAAACAGATAAATCCACTAAAAACCAAGATACTGGCACTTCCATAATAGAGATTAAACAGATAAATCCACTAGCTACAACTAACAGAATAATGTTACTTCCATTCTAGAGATTAAACAGATAACTCCACTAGCAACCAGGATACTGTCATTTCCATCCTAGAGATTAAACAGATAAAACCACTAGCAACCAGGATACTGTCACTTCCACCCTAGAGATTTAACAGATAAAACCACTAGCAACCAGGATACTATCATTTCCATCCTAGAGATTTAACAGATAAAACCACTAGCAACCAGGATACTGTCACTTCCACCCTAGAGATTAAACAGATAAAACCGCTAGCAACCAGGATACTGTCATTTCCATCCTAGAGATTAAACAGATAAATCCACTAGCAACCAGGATACTGTCACTTCCATCTTAGAGATTAAGTACATAATTCCATTAGCTATCAAGATACTGTCAGTTCCATCCTAGAGATTAAACAGATATTTCCATTCGGCCGCAATCATTAGCTATCAGTGTACTATCACTATCCATCCAGATGGATAAGGAAATTATGCATCAACTTATAAAACCAAATCTACATTAAATCTTTCGAAACTTAATTCAGTATAAAAGAAGTAATTGAAAAAATTCAAATAGGTTTTTGTCCTAGAGCGTGTATGATTTATTTTTTGCGTTTTCTAGAAAAGAAGTATTTTATATGAAACCAAAATCTTGGTATATTTTTACAATGAAATATGGAGATATGCACTTCACAGTCTACACAGTTGACACTTCATGAAGAATAATGAATGTTTTGTGAGACCCTGGTTTTTTTCTTTTAAATTCAAACATAGTATCAAGCATGAAGGAAATCCTGAGAATTGAGATGGAGGGGGGGGGGGGCAGAATCATTAGAAAGTCAAAACAAAACACATCAACGTTAAGAGATCCGGATCTGATAAAAATTTCGGAATTTACAAAACGTGTATAAACTTGTAATTTGCGTTAAGCTAGAATATAAGAAAAAAATCTTGTTTAGAATACTAAATTACAAAAATTCGACGATGAACAAGTTTTTAAATGTTATCTGAGAACTTTTTTTGTTTTAACTAAAAAGATAAATTCACTTTTTGGAAAGTTTTTACAAATATGTTTTTTCGTAAAGAAACTAAGTTTTCAGTTTGTGTCAGATATCTAAGTGAACTACCCAAAAGTAAAAGTTCCCAAATGGCAACTTCCCAAAAGTAAAAGTTCCCAAATGGCAACTTCCCAAAAGTAAAAGTTCCCAAATGGCAACTTCCTAAAAGTAAAAGTTCCCAAATGGCAACTTCATAAAGGTAAAAGTTCTCAAATGGCAACTTCCTTAAGGTAAAAGTTCTCAAATGGCAACTTCCTAAAGGTAAAAGTTCTCAAATGGGCACTAAAGCTAGTGTTAATAAAGAGAAGATATCATTGAACATGATAGTTTACCTGGAAAACAGGTCTGTGAAGACAAACTTGAAATTGTTTCTGCATTTGAGGAAATATTTTGATAAGACCCACCCTTGCTTCAGCTAACAGATGATCTCCGGATATATCTTCATCTAGAGATAAATATTCATGAATAAAGTGCCAGTAAAAATTGGAAAGGAGTTTGGCAGATCCATTGAAATTGTAAGTTGTAAATTATGAAACTTGATTTTTTGTACTATGAAAATCAAACGAGTTTTTGAGAGCTAGTTATTAAACTTTCAAGAGCGAGTGTAAGCGTAATTTCAAGTGAGCCTTCTTATATGTTTACCTGCAGTGGAAATGCACAAGTCCCTTTCATAGAGAAACCATAATTGAAAATAATTAGTTTGTAAAATTATAAACGTTACAATTTAATTTTTACTTGATCAGACAAAGCTATAAAGGGTATCGTTGTGAATCGGAAATTGTCATCTTTACATAGAGGGTCACTTAAAATTACGCTTACAATCCCTTTATTTTATTTTATCAAAATAAATATTTGAGACATTCAATGTAATTTGAAGATTTTAGAAATACCGCGTAATTCTGTTAAAGTAATCTTCTAAATTTTTATTTCTGAAAGAAGCTTTTGGGAATTTTTCGATTTTTAGTTAATCAATTGGATTTTTTTGTATTTTCCTCCGTCTAAAGAAAATCTAATGATATTTTTAAAAGGTAAACTGCTATTATCCATATTTACAACTGTATTGGAAGTACAAATATTTTAGAGTAAGATAATTAAAGAATCGAGTCTTTGCTGCAAACTCAAATGTTCTAATCCCTATATCTTCACAACCTGAAGTCGTAAATCTTTGATATTTTAAACTTAGATTATTTTATCTATCAGAATTTGGAGTTAGAAATATTTACTAAACGACATGGGATTTTATTTATTCAATCGAGTGGGAGCTGGAGAGGCGGCCCTTGATGCGTTCAGTTTCTTAAAGGATTTGAGTTTTCGCCTCATACTCAAATTTTCTAATTTTTATATCTCTGCAACCGCTTAGTGTAAACCTTTGATATTTAAGATCTATTATTTGATCTAACAGAATTAATAGTTTGAAATATCTAAGGTCATGACCATGGTATGCAAAGATAAAGGGATAAGAATATTTGAGTTTGTGGCAAAAACTTAATTCCTTTGGATTTATTCGCGTTTTTTCTATTTTTCAACCTTTATTCTTACAAAGTTGTATTCCCATACAATTTCATTTAAATGAATTGAGTGTTTTCCATTAACTCAAATTGTTTCAATCAGTATATCGTTGCAACCTGATGGTAAATACCTTTGATATTTCAACCTTAGTTATATTGATCTATTAGTATTCATAATCTGAAATATGTATGGCCTACGACATTGGCTTGCAAAGATATAAGGATAAGCAAATAATGGTTTGTTGCAAAGAATTGTGATGTGGGGGGGGGTACCTAGTATATGCATAAGCATATGCATAGTAGAGAGCTGATCTCTTGGTATATCTGGGAAGTTGAGTAAGCTTGTATATTCAGGGTGTATACTCTTCATCACAGTTTTAGTTCTCTGGTGGGTTACCTACAATATTATTTATATTAGATGTACAGATTTTTGATTAAAATTGCAAATTTGTGGGTTGTATTCATTTAATAATTTCAATATCTAAAAAGAGGAATTTAATCTATATTCTATTAAAAGCAAAGTTTTGCACTGAATTTCTAATATGAAAAATATTATTATAAAGATTTATTCACACACAAAGATATAAATACATATATAAATGGTGTAGTTAAAATTTGTTTAAATAAATTTTTTTTTTTTTTTTAAGAAAGCAGTGTGTAAACTGCCTAAAACACTCTTACAGAGAGATGTTTACTACTCAACTGTCCTGAACTAACAGTATTTAAAAATCGGGGGGAGGGGAGTTTGTAAATAAAATACCTTTTTACTAGGGGGTACTAGGGTAACCCTGCAGTAGGAATCACATAGGCCGTTCACATCGAGTCCTTTCAAACCCTGAAAACAGATATAAAACAATTAAAGTCAAAGGATAAACAAGAAAGTTAAGAAAATCAAAGTTGCCAAAGAAAGGTCTCATTTACCATCTAAAGATTTTAAAAATACTGCCAAAGAAAAGTTCTAAGCAAAAGGTTTTTTATAAAAAGATGCACATGAAGAAATCTCTAAAATAATAAATCTAATAAGGTGTTCTTACCTTTGCTCTAAGGATATTTACTAGTAGGAGGGATGCTGTCTCGTCGTAGATGAGAGCAAATTCAAGCAGTCCAGAACTTCCTGCATTACAAAATAATGTAATAATAATAATCTTAATAATAATAAGAAATTCCTGCATTTAAAAGTAATATAATAATAAAAATAATAATAATCATACACTACTTTATTTAAAACTAATACAATGCTATTTAAAATTAATATAATGATATTTAAAATTAATATCATGATATTCAAAATTAATATAATGATATTTAAAATTAAAATATATGATATTTAAAAATGCTAAATTATTTATTCTCCTTTTCCCCTAGTTCCATCTTCATAAGATTCAGAACTACTTCTCTCAAACTTAGAAAATTAAACTTGAATAATTTACTACAGCCATGCAAGTTATTAAATATATTGCTAGGCTCTCAGGGCGCTTCGTGCCCATCTTCTATTTCAACTTTTAATTGAGGCTATTAGAATTTACTTTTCGTACTTCAATATAAAACAAAAAAGATTCGCAGATTCAATCATATTATTTTGTGGAGATAAATTTGTGCAGCTCTAAGCATCTATAAACCTTCCCTTGGGACATGTATTTTGCCTACAAAACTGTGAGTGTAGGCCCAATCAGCCGTTTTGCTGTTTATTGGATTAAGAGAAACAAGAAAAGTATATATAAAAAGATGTATATAAAACTTAGAAGTGTCTGCTTTGATGTATAAACATAAAACAAAATTTTTCAAATTTTTCAAAGAAATAAAAAAACTGAATTTGAAACTAATTGATGATGATTATTCTGAAATCAATTTGTTAATTTCTCCTAAAAAAGATAATTTTAAAATTCTCTCTATCAAAACTTTCCAGAAAAAGAGAAAAAACATTAGATCAAAAATGTATCACCAACATTCTGATATTTATTAATCAAATTTATTAATTTATTTATTTATTTGTTAAATATCATGCCCCCCACCCTGCCTCTGCCCATAACACCATTATTCCCAAAATTATTAAAAAGAAACCAACTGAAGTAAACACATCACACAAGAAACCTATTAACAAATGAGGAAAACCTCACTTCTAGAGTAAATACATGACATTTTTTATTGATTCGATAGTAAATAAAATAAATTGCCGCTTTAGTAATTGTAAATTGGCGGTACTTCTCTCCACTAAATCCCTGTACTTCTTCGGTCAGAGTACTGCATATCTCTCCAGTACACACTAAAAGCTTATTTGAGGTTGGTAGAGTCCAAACTGTGCCGCCAAGGTTGACCCCACTCGGATATTTAAATGTACACCGATTGTGCGTGAAAACAAAAGTAAAATAACTCTACTTATACATGCCATTTTTTTCTTGATATAAAGGTTTAGTTTCAGATTATGTTTATGTACAGAAGAGGTTTCAGGGTCCGTCAACAATATGGGCGGTTCTGATTGGTTAAAGCACTTCTGAGCCCGGGGAATGGAGCGGGCCGAGTCAGTTGATAGTTTGGATTCATTTATTACGCATGTATTGATTAATATATGAATTTCATCAGGACAGATACCCATGATCCTGACTCGGTCTTATTTCAGAATTAGCATGAAGCTTGAGATTTGATAAAACCATTAGTTTTTGTCCGTCGTTATATTAAACTATTTGAAAACGAAAGAAAGATTTCTTTTACAAAAAAATTTAATGATTCTACAATGAACAAATAAGGCAAAACTGCTCAAATAGAATTAATCGTTAATTAACTTCGGGCCAACCAATCAAAACAACCATCCCTGGTTAGACGGGTCCAAACTGCATAGTAAATTGCGATTGCGTATTTGTAATATCTCATGCTTTGTAGTTGAATAAAAATATGAATGAATGAATTAAAACAAGATTTTTTTTCAATTCGTTATACCGAAATTTTTGTAAAATCGTGTTTTTAATCTATCTGAATTTCCAGTGACATAATGTGGGTTCTAACCTTCAGGTGTCCTAGGAGACATAGAGGTACCATCATCTGAACCTTGACTCTTCACATCCTTCTCTTTTCTAAACACAATAAATATATCTTCTATATGTATAAAGTTGTAATCTCTGTTTGTTTTTCCGATCAAAACTCAGGAACCCCTTTGCCGATTTGCCTTAAATTTTGATATGGGAACTCGGGAGAGCCCCGGGAATGTTCTTAGCTTGGTTGTTCTTATTTTAGTGGGTCAAAAATAGCGAAAATTGTGTTTCTCGGTAAAATCGACCATGTGCGGGTAAACGGTGGGAATAACTTTGAAACCCCTGTGCAACGCTGGGTTCCCAAGCTAGTATAAAATAAAGGAGCCGAGGTTTTGCCGTAAACCGGATTTTGCAATTCTTATATCTTTGCAAGCCGATGTTATACCTTAGATAATTTTAACTTCGAATCAAATAGTTTAGTCTTGCAAAGATATAGGAATTTAAAATATAAGTTTGAGGCAAAAACTAGCTTGTTTTGTTTCCAAAAAACTAAATTTTAATAAATCTCGGAAAAATTTGAATTGGAAGGATGTTTTCAAGAAATAGATCTGGCAAGCATGATTATTAATAATATTCATGATAATAATCAAAACCCAAACTAAAAACGGGTTCAATTCTCCATGAATTTCAAAATATATTTTTAAAAATTCTTCAAATTTTCCAAGATGATTATATGATGAATACAAGAAGTTAGGTAAGGATATTGTTTGATCTCCAAATCCAATGGAGGCACTTTTAAATCATAGGATCAATGTTTGATTAAAGTTATTCTTGCAGGGCATGACCATCACGGGAAATCAAAAATATTTATAAATGGTTGATCTCGGAAGTTTACAACACAAAACTTCTGACTTCTGCAAAAACTGTCGGAATTGAAACTGAGTAACAAAAAATGTCGGAATTGAAACTGAGTAACAAGAAATGCCGGAATTGAAACTAATTAAAAAGAAATGTCCGAATTGAAACTGAGTAACAAAAAATGTCGGAATTGAAACTAATTAAAAAGAAATGTCGGAATTGAAACTGAGTAACAAAAAATGTCGGAATTGAAACTAAGTAACAAGAAATGTCGGAATTGAAACTGAGTAACAAGAAATGTCGGAGTTGTGTGACAAGGACAGGGTCTATTTGCAGAGTGAGAGCAGAGAGAAAAAATTGCGCCTGATATCATCTAATTTTTAAAATTTAGGTTTAAAGATAATTCTTACTAACTAATTGTTTTTAGCTAGAAAAAAAATTGAATATAAGTCTTAAAAATTGTTCTTAAGGTAAATTCTCAACTTCTGACAATTACATATAGCTGAAACTTTGCACCATCATTTAACATTTGAAACTATACTTTATTAAATCAGTTTCCAGTATTTCGAGTTAAACCACAGACTTGATATTTATAAACTTAGCCATCTCATCTCACCGAACCTCGATTACAGGAGGAAGTGGGGTTCATACAGATCATAGATCATATTTTGCCGGCGTACACATCAATACTAAATAATCAGAGAGATAGATCTATATTTTCCCCTAAGATGTAAACCACAAATATGAAAGTAAAAAAGGAAGCGCTGGAAAAATAATTTGTTTTTTAAAAATACGTACACAAACAACCCGAATATTTCTAAAATTGTACAGTTTTGCCACTGTACTGAGTACACTGAACCTCTATCCATACTCTGTGAGTTAAAAACACAATCAAGAATTTTCTTAAACACATTCTGAAAACACAATCAAGAAGTTTCTTAAACACATTCTAAAAACACAATCAAGAATTTTCTTAAACACATTCTGAAAACACAATCAAGAAGTTTCTTAAACACATTCTAAAAAATCTTAAGTTGATTTCGAGACCTAAATGAATTCAGAAAAAAATGACTGGTTTATTTCTACAGGGGCAACCAGAAAATGACTGGTTTATTTCTACAGGGGCAACCAGAAAATGACTGGTTTATTTCTACAGGGGTAACCAGAAAATGACTGGTTTATTTCTACAGGGGTAACCAGAAAATGACTGGTTTATTTCTACAGGGGTAACCAGAAAATAGTGGAATTCTATTTTTGATTATAAAATGTCGATGATATATTAAAACAGTTACAAATAACAAAATCGTTCACGACATTTATAAATTAAAAAAATAATGAAGACGACCATCTTTCCATTGTTTTATGTTTACCATGAATGTATAAGTTCTCAATCACTTAATCAACCACTTCTCTCAAAAAAGTGATGAAAAATTGCCATAGTGATTCCGTTATGACACAATTCAAATAGAGGGGCCAATTAATTTTATTTTAATCGATCAACTAATACAGGGTCCCATGAAACATGACAGTTGGTAAATAGTTTAGAATGTCTTCTTCCATAATTTGTTAAGTAGTTTAATACCAAAGACAATTATAAAAATATTATATAGGAGACATACTATAGTAAAATTAATTTTAAATTAAATTATACTTGAGCAAAAGATCTTTTAAACGAAATAAACTGCAAACAGCCTTTAATATCTAATGCAGTGTATGGAAGACGACATTGATAACAATTTACCAACTGTCATGTTTCGTGGGACACCCTGTATCTAACTATTTTCAAAACAGACAAATTTTCCAGCCATGAAGTAGGCATTAGATTCCTTTTAGATCTAAATAAAGCTAACTTAATAATTTTAAATGTTCAATATTAACATTTCATGGTATGTAGAAGAGTGGGTAGAAATTTAGAAATTTGAAATATGAAATTTTGATATTTTGCCGAAATTTCAACTTAATTTGTTGGAAACCTAGAGAACACAATTTAACCCAGAAAATGGTTTTTTTATTTTAGATTTGTCTCCATCAAATTGTATTCTTTTCAAGAACTTGTCAACAAGAAATCTAAATTTGAAAGGCTAGCAAGTCGCAGAAAGATATTTTCTCCTTTTTTTATATATTCTCTGCTTAAAAATCCGCCAACTGCTTTCTATGTTTGATTAACTAATGGTTTTCATTCATTCGGAAAATATCCAAAGTCGACGAATTTTAAGTTTTAAACAAATTATATTCCAATCGATCCACTCAGACTGTATTTGATGAATCAAGCATTTTCCTTCAAGTTCAAAAGTATCCACGATGTATATAGAGATCAAGGGTTCAAGATTAACCGATATCGGATAAAAGAATCCCATTAATAATATTTAGTTTTTCTAATTTGAACTTATGGCGATTAAAACTTCTTATTTCTTAAAAAGGCCATAAATTATTACGTATGAGACGATTTAATGAATAAGATAAATATTAAAATTTTAACCTTGAAGAACTGCCCTTCTCTGCTCCCTCCTCCTGCAACTAAAAGTAAAAAATATAAATTTTTTAAATTAATTTAATAAAAGGGGGTAAGATAAAATAAAAGGGGGTAAAGGCTTGAAGTCTAGAGATTACAGAAGTTGATCACAACCAAAATTAGTTCTATCCGATGTCCCTGTCTCGAGAAATGGATATAAAACTGTGTCAAAGTTGTTAATTTCTATATCTTTGCATCCTGATGTGCTGACGTAGACCTTCAAGCAAGTTTGAAATATCTGAACATCTGAGTTTGTGGCTAAAACTCAGTTAATCTTTGGTTTAAACTAAAGTTGAAATTTTACTTTTAAATCTCCTAAATAATCGGAGTTCTTTACGATTTTACGCCATATGATAAAAGCAAACTTACAATAATTTAAATTTTGAAATAAAATAATCATTTTAAAAATCTTGCAGATCCCCTTTTAAGTAAAAAAAAAATCAGAATGTTGAAATCCCCGAAAAGCAAAATCCTAACCTCCAATCCAAAATCTTGAATCCGTCTTTTAGATCTGGATTTTCGATTCACTGTGCTCAATCTGAAAAATATAATTATGCAAAAAGAGTCCTAAAACTTGTTTGAAATGTGAATGTAGAATGGGGGGGAATGTTAGGGGTAGGAACCTTCACTGACATTTAATATTCTGAACAAAGAATTAAACTTTTGATTGTTGGATCAGGAACAAAAATAATGTAATTTTTTTTAAGTTTTAAAAAAAGGAACATTATAAAAGAATTTTGTATGAGATCCCTTTAGAATTGTAATTATTACGCAAATTATCTTAAAATTCTTTTTTTTCGGTAGAATTTAAACTGAAAATAGTTTTTAATAAGAAAGAAACTTTATATTTTCAATGGGATTTTTTTAGGTTTCTTGATTTCAAAGACATTTTTGAAATAGTTTCATTCCTATGAGGGGTTTAAGGAGTGCTGAAAGTTAAATTAAATTTAATTTTATGCTTGTTAATTATGCTTTATACCTTCTTAAAGTTGATATCACACCATCAGCGCTTCCTGAAATTAGTTAATTTATTCAAAATTGTTTGAATTAACTTGGATGAAGTTAGGTGAGAATAAACATTATATTAATTAATACATTTCATAATCTAATCATAAAAAATATAAATACCCACTGCTGCATTATTTTTCTGTATATTTCTTCAATTCAAGTATATAATTAAAGTAAATTGCTAAGTTCCAATGATTTATGAAGAATAGATAAAGAATTAGAGTTTATAAGTTAATTAACTCTTTTGTTTTTCGATTATTGGTAAAGTGTTCAGTGTACAGCAATATGCAGTACATATCAATATGCAGTGTACCGTGTGCAGTGTATAGTGTACAGTGTTCAGTTTGCAGTGTTGACAGTGTATAGTGTACAGCAATGTACCGTGAATTGTGTACAGCAGTGTACCTTGTATTTTGTACAGCAGGGTACCGTGTATAGTGTACAGCAGGATATCGTGTATAATGTACAGCAGGATACCGTGTATTGTGTAAAGCAGGATACCTTGCATAGTGTACAGCAGGGTACCGTGTATAGTGTACAGCAGGGTACAGTGTATAGTGTACAGCAGGATACCGTGTAAAGTATACAACAGGATATCGTGTATACTGTATAGAGTACAGCAGGATACTTTGTATAGTGTACAGCAGGATACCGTGTATAGTCTTCATCAGGATACCGTGTATAGTGTACAGCAGGGTACCTTGTATAGTGTACAGCAGGGTATAGTGTACAGCAGGGTACCGTGTATACTGCATAGTATACAGTAGGGTACCGTGTATAGTGTACAGCAGGATACCGTGTATAGTGTACAGCAGGGTACCGTGTATAGTGTACAGCAAGGTACTGTGTATAGTGTACAGTGTACGGTGTACCTCTATGTCTAGGTTTCCCGTCCAGAGATAAAGAGAGCGGAACCTCTGTAAGGTCGGAGTCTGACGGAGATGAAGATTCTTTTCCAGGTGTAACCTCTCTATCCTCTAGAGGAGGAGGGGTTTGAGAACCGGAGGATTCATGTCTAGATGGAGGACAGGAAACTGGTCTGGAGGACGGTGGTCGACGACCTCCAGGATGTCGTCCTCGAGTCATACCTCGTGGAGAACCTCTTGGACTACCTAAAGGGGGTGGCCGGGGACCTCTAGGGGAGGGGAAGGGAGGACGGTGGGTCCAGGGAGGACCAGGTGGACGGTTCATCCTTGGAAGTGGTGGACGGGGACGGAAGTGTAAAGGACTACCTCTAGACGGAGGAGGACGTCTACCAGGTGAACCCCTGAGAGGAAGAGCAGGAAGGTTTGGTCTACCCCCTGATCCAGGTTCAGATCTTCTGTATAGATCAGTCTCAGGACAGTACAGGGAATCCATAGAGCTGAAGTTACTGAAAGTAAAGTTCAGATTAAAAATGTCTAGTTTTCTGAGGACATGTATAATCTATTTACATCAGTGTACTATTAGCTAGTGGTTAATCAACCCCATTATAAGGTATAATTTACACCTGATTTTGTTCCCTTTTTTATTACAGAAATATTATTAATATTATTATTTTCAATATTTATTTTATTTTTCTATACCTCTGTAGAGAGAGAGAACAGCTTCCATTACTGTCACGTTTCTCATGATTAAATGCAAACGTTCGTTTGGATAAACTTCCATCTTCATCACTACTTCCATCCTCATCCCCATCCCTACATTTATAAATATATATTTCGATTATTTGCATTAGAATATATTCATATTTCAATATTTTCCCATCCCTACATTTGAATTTTTAAATATATTTACATATGCCCATCTTTACTGAAGATATTATATTTATGTCTTACTAGCTGAAGGGCCCGGCGTTGCCCGTGGTAAAATAAATATATCCCTATCCCTACATCAAAATATATATCTCCATTTCTATAAAAACTTATGCCCATCCCTACATTAGATTATATTCATATATCAATCTCTATTTTAGAATTTATAACTATATCAAGAAAGCAACTTCACATTAGAGTATATAACTGTAATTTACATATATCTATGTAAAGTATAAACAAATCCTTTTACAAAAATACATATATACAAATTATGGTATAAGCTAAATTTGACCTGCAGAGATTGTAAAATGTATATTTAGAAGAATATAAAACTATTTTAGTTTTAATTTAATGTTTAATACGATATTTAAACTCCAAATACTAGATTTTACCCAGTTCTATTAAAGCTGAAAGCTGAAAGCACACTGTATACACAACACAATAACAGTGTATAAAAGACCTGTGTCCGAATTTAATGAGTTTATGCCGCGTCTTAAATCCGCCAAAAAACTGGATTCAATTGAAAAATTTAATACAATTTTAAGTGGAACCAACCATATTTGAGCTGTGGCTTAAATTTAAGCCGCAGCATAAATTCTTGAAGTTCGGCCTTTGAACACTTGCTGCAAACTTAAATTTTCGAATCTTTGCATCTTTGCAACTTTTATACAATTTGATTTATCAGAAATAATATTTATAAATATCAAAGTATATGACAGAATTATTCCTTTGGCATATTTTATTTTTATTTATACATACACGGATTTGACCTATGTATTAAGCTTTTACCTTTAGAATGGGGGGGGATGATGTGGGGGGGGGATTTTACATATCAAAAAAAATTTGCATTTTTGATCTTCCATTAGTGGCATAATTTGCAATTTAATCTTTTTTGCAACTTTTTGAGGTAAACTTGTTACATTTCTAGCTGAAGTTTAGACACAAACAATAAAAGTGAAAGACAGAAATATTAATTACCTCTCCTCAGCATCTTCTGGAGCCTTCTTTCTTGTTGGTTTATACACGGTGTATCTTCGTTCCCTAGAGTCAAAGTTAGGCAATGGTCATTAGGCAATGGCATTGGGCAATTGGCAATGGGCATTGTATTCGTTGCTTTAAAATTCAGGGGTTTAGGGCTTTCAAGAGGCTTTATACAAATTTTCGAAGTTTAAAATATTTCAACTTTTAACACAGAGTCAGTCAAGATATTTTGAATGCAGAAACTAAAAATCAAGCTTCAAATTGTCATATTTTTAGAGTTTTGGGTCGTCTTTACAGTCTCAGTTTTTGGCTAGTCTGCCCTGGTGTTTTTTTGTATCTAAGAAACGTAACAACAACCATATTTTTGTGGTAACTCCCTTGACCCCAAGGAAGGTTTATGGTAACTCACTTGACCCCAAGGAAGGTTTATGGTAACTCACTTGACCCCAAGGAAGGTTTATTGTAACTCACTTGACCCCAAGGAAGGTTTATGGCTGGTCAAAGTTGAAAATTTTTGCCTTAAAAAATGTTAAACAGAAAAATATGCAAAAGTTTGAGATTTTTTTTTAAACGGATAAAAACAATGTCGAACTCTACCTTGAATGCTGCTCTTCAGGACTGGTTTGGAATAAATCTTCTCCGATGAGATCCTGCATAGGCATTCCTTGCTGTAGTACACGAACATATAGGATACATAGTACACGAACATATAGGATACAGAAAACTTATTAATTTTACCAACCTTAAATATTTAAATAACGATTTAATCCGTTTTTGTGATAAAAGAAATGGTTATTAATATGGATAAGCCTTAGTTTAGTTTAATAAGAAACATTTGTGAAAATATGAAAAGATATTTTCTTAAACTTTAAACTTTAATCTTAATAATTATTTATTAATGACGACTAAGGTCCGTGTTCCCTTGAAAAACCAAGCTCCAGACTTCTTCCAGACCTCCCTGAAATATAAAATATTTATCTTTTAACCTCGTTCAGAGTTTCTCTCCGTACTAAGAATGGGGGCACAGAAAAATTGCAAAGCTTAGTTTGGTTTTAGTATGTAAAATTTAATTTTAAAAGACAATTTGTAAAACAAATTTTATTCTAATAACCATATTTGTAAACATAAGCAAAACAGAAGTATTTCAGAAATGTGTTGTGAATTTTTTTTGGTTCAAAATTATATTAAAATTTACAAAAATAAGTGGTTATGAGAAACTTTTTTGCATCTCTTCACTGTATCCGTCTAGAAATCTAGACATACACACTGTATAGTTAGAGATAAGCGCGTTAATATTAAAAAAAAAATTTCATTCGTGTATCGTTTGTGATTGATTCATTTCGTTCGTTTTTTTTGATCGTTAAAAAAGATGATTTCGTTTGGTCTAAAATTATCGTTCATTTTTCTTCTATTTTCTTCGTTTTTTTCACTGATCGTTCAGAAAAATCATTCATCTCGAGAAATCGTTCGTTCAATAAAATTGTTATTGCAGAAAAAAACTATCGTTTTTAAAAATTGTAATCGAAAAAATCGTTCGTTTAATAAAAAAATGGCGCTTTTTCAAATTCTTTGGAAAATTCGTTTTTGAAAAAACTGTTTTTTTCATTTTTCTAAACAATCCGATGTCTATATAGTTTTTTTTCTAACTGACACCATCGTTAACGAAAAATTCGTGCGTTGATAAAAACGATGTCGTCATCTGTATGTGTGTACTGCGTTTTATCCTTGTTGAAGGATTCTTCAAGATCTAATTACACAGTCTCAAGTTGAAGCTTAGAAACTTTTCAAACTTATTTTACCACAAGGTTCTGAGTGACCCAGAAATGGTTAAATGAACACTTACTCTAATTTTCCAATCCTTATTTCCTTGCAACCTGATGGTATAAAATTATAAATTTCAAATTTTAGAAATTTGGTCAGAATACATTACGTATACGGTAGGTTGCAAAAATATAAATTTATATGTGTGAGAAAAGATAATTTGTAGTTTCTGTATTATTAGAAAGAATAATCGAATATGAATGTGTCTACGTAATCAATTTTGTAAAGGAAGTGTCATTTTAAGGAAAGGTTCACTTATTTGAAAATAAATATAAAATATCACAATTTTAAGAAACAAAACAACATTCTTTAAATATCCATAGAACCTACAAAATGACAAAATTTATCAGAAAACTTGGTTTCATGATAAAAAACGCCATGATTCTTTGGACACAGAATTTTTGAACATTCTGGCTCTCAAGAACATCTTTTAGCTGTTAATTATGTTAATATTTCCAAAAAATATGGAGATATTATGGAGATGTTAGGCAAATTTAAGTCAAAGAATAAGGTCAATAATTCCTTCAAGAATTAAATTCAACCAGCAATTCTCTAAAATACGGCACATCCACAAATTTCTTTTTCGTTTTTAAAGAATGTAAAACAAAACAAGGGAACTGAGTTTTTGCCACAAACTCAAATATTCTAATCCATATATCTTTGCAACCTGATGGTGTAAATCGTTAATATTTCAAACTTAGACTATAACTGTCACAATTCATAGTTTGAAATATTAAAGATCTACAACATCGGGCTGCAAAGATAACGGGATTAGAAAATCAAAGTTTGTGACAAAAACTCAGTTCTTTTGTCTGCATGAAAACCTCATATTTTTCCTGCATCCTTACAAGATGGGTTTCCTTTGTTGTAAACATCTTGTAAACCTTTTGGTATTTTTAACAAAAATGTATCTGACATTTTAAAAACATTCTTACTAATTTAAAATAAATATTAATCTTAGGTTTTTTTATCAAAAGAAACCCCTGAAACAAGAATATATTCCCTCCTTAATTACTAGTTTAAAATAAATATCAAAAGAAACCCCTGAAACAAGAATGGATTTCCCTCCTTAATTTGTTTTCCTTGATTATCTGATTCTATTACTAGACCTGGTTTCAGAGCAGATCTTACAAAGCCAGATAGTTCCTTCCTTTCCGCAGCCCTGGGTCTCAACTCCACATTTAGTACACACCACCTTCTTACAGTCAACACACATCAGGTTCTTATGCCTTAATAATTAACTTTAATCGTTAATCGTTCAAAAAATGAACAGAAAGTCATCGATTTTCGTTTTTTTAAAATTTTCAAAACTAAGAAACCTTCTTTTTCAACGTTAAATCTAATGAACTGTTTGATTTGATATCTTGAAAACGAAAAACATAATTTTTAACATTTGTGACCGCTCGTCCGACTCAGAAATGATTTTAAGGAAAACTAGATAATGTTAACAACAATATTTTTTTAAAATGTATCTCGTTAACGATTTTTAAATTCCTACCTTCGGTAAAGAAACAACGAACAAAAAGCAAAACTACTACTTCGTTTTCTAATTTATAGAAAGCCATTCTTTTGAAGAAAGATCTTTTCGTTTTTCGATTTTTCTACGTCGTTATCCGTTAACGAAGCTATTATTTTGTTTTTTTTCAGAAAATAAAATAAAACGATTCATCCTTAAACACAGGTCACCACATTATTTACTTTGTCATCCTAACTCAATATCTATAAAATAAAATATTTTTTTAGTTTTGCGAAGAGAAATTTTGATGGTCCTGAAATCTTAACATATTGATATTATGGGTCTGCATATGCAATAATAAACAGCATATGTACTGGAGTTCCTAGTCCTGAGTTTAGTTATGTACTCGAGTACCTAGTCCTGAGTTTAGTTATGTACTCGAGTACCTAGTCCTAAGTTTATTTATGTACTGGAGTACCTAGTCCTGAGTTTAGTTATATACTCGAGTACCTAGTCCTGAGTTTAGTTATGTACTCGAGTACCTAGTCCTGAGTTTAGTTATGTACGAGTACGTAGTTATGAGTTTAGTTATGTACTCAAGTACCTAGTCCTGAGTTTATTTATGTACTCGAGTACCTAGTCCTGAGTTTAGTTATGTGCGAGTACGTAGTCCTGAGTTTAGTTATGTACTAGTACCTAGTCCTGAGTTTAGTTATGTACTCGTGTACCTAGTCCTGAGTTTAGTTATGTACTCGAGTACCTAGTCCTGAGTTTAGTTATGTACTCGAGTACCTAGTCCTGAGTTAAGTTGTGTACTCGAGTACCTAGTCCTGAGTTTATTTATGTACTCGAGTACCTTGTCCTGAGTTTAGTTATGACATTGAGATATTCAGATGAGATTTTAAACTGATTTCATGATGTCTCACTACACATTTGGGACATAAGGTAAAAGAAATCTGAAACATTTGGGACATAATGTAAAACAAATCTTAAACATTTGGGACATAATGTAAAACAAATCTCAAACATTTGGGACATAATGTAAAACAAATCTTAAACATTTGGGACATAATGTAAAACAAATCTCAAACATTTGGGACATAATGTAAAAGAAATCTCAAAAAGTCTCCAAAAATAAAAGGTTGTAACCGAAATTTATTATTCCCCTCCTCCTACAACTTGTAGTTGCAGGATAAAAAGATAATTGTATTGGTTTAACTTTACTAAAGTTAAACAGAAGCTGAAGTTTGGCCTTTAAGAGTTTTTTTTAGTTCGATATGTTTCGGGAAAACCCGTCTTCAAATAATGAAAAACCAGCCAACTAGGTTGGGATTTATGTGTGTAGTGTAGTAACGCTAATCTTGAGTGCTCAAATTTTCTGATTCATATATCTTTGCAAGCTGATGGCGTAAACCTTTGAAAACTTTTTTATCTAAGCTCATAGTTTAAGATATTTGAGGTCTATATCGTGTCGCAAAGATATAAGGATTAAAAAATCAGGTTTTATAGAAAAGACTCAATTGCTTTTTTATTGGTGAAATTTAAAAAAAAAATATTCTTGAAGAAGACTTTTTACCAGCGATAAACCTTTCGTATAGACCATATCGATTAATCCCTTTTGACCTTTTTTAATGTCAATCATATGATCTTTTACGTATTTATCTACTAACCTTTATCATCATTATCTTAATAATTTTGGAGAAATAGTTTTATCTTCTTTACAAAAATATTCAACTTATCTTAATGAAGCTAAGCTGAAAAGAGCTACTCTCTTATTAAAAATATTTATTTTTAAAATACAAATTTTAAACATTGTTCTGAAAAAAATATTGTAACCTTTACTTTAAAATAATGAGTCTAATGAACGCCTTTAAGAAGGCTATAGATACATATTTTAATAATTAGACAAAATGTAGTTTCAGTAGAAGTAAATATTTCCATTTACTGTTTTAGTGCCGATATTAGAATTTGTCTCTAATTGGATAATGAGATAGATAGAAAGATAGATGTTACCGCCATACAATTTCAATTGGTTCAGAATAGACAACAAACACATGACTAAACCTTGATTGGATCAGGCGCTAATGGACTCGACAGACTATATGCTATTTAATCATAAATACAATTTATTTTCTGAGTTGTACGAAAAGTTTGACGCTGATTCCATGTATATACATGGAATCAGCGTCAAACTTTTCGTACAACTCAGAAAATAAATTGTATTTATGATTAAATAGCATATAGTCTGTCGAGTCCATTAGCGCCTGATCCAATCAAGGTTTAGTCATGTGTTTGTTGTCTATTCTGAACCAATTGAAATTGTATGGCGGTAACATCTATCTTTCTATCTATCTCATTATCCAATTAGAGACAAATTCTAATATCGGCACTAAAACAGTAAATGGAAATATTTACTTCTACTGAAACTACATTTTGTCTAATTATTAAAATATGTATCTATAGCCTTCTTAAAGGCGTTCATTAGACTCATTATTTTAAAGTAAAGGTTACAATATTTTTTTCAGAACAATGTTTAAAATTTGTATTTTAAAAATAAATATTTTTAATAAGAGAGTAGCTCTTTTCAGCTTAGCTTCATTAAGATAAGTTGAATATTTTTGTAAAGAAGATAAAACTATTTCTCCAAAATTATTAAGATAATGATGATAAAGGTTAGTAGATAAATACGTAAAAGATCATATGATTGACATTAAAAAAGGTCAAAAGGGATTAATCGATATGGTCTATACGAAAGGTTTATCGCTGGTAAAAAGTCTTCTTCAAGAATATTTTTTTTTTAAATTTCACCAATAAAAAAGCAATTGAGTCTTTTCTATAAAACCTGATTTTTTAATCCTTATATCTTTGCGACACGATATAGACCTCAAATATCTTAAACTATGAGCTTAGATAAAAAAGTTTTCAAAGGTTTACGCCATCAGCTTNTCACCCCATGGATTAACCATTTCACCCCATCGACTAACCATTTCACCCCATGGACTAACCATTTTACCCCATGGACTAAAACCATTTCACCCCATGGACTAACCATTTCACCCCATGGACTAACCATTTTACCCCATGGACTAACCAGGTCTAAATGTATTCTGTTTCTCTAATATGAATTTAATTGGTCTATAATTCAACTATCCCACTGCAACCGAAACTGATCTCCGGTATAATTTTGTGACCTCGTATCTTCTCTAGATTTAATTTTACAAATATGAAGAAGAAAAAATATTTGGTTATATTTTAGAAATGACAAACAATTATGCTCTTCAATTGCAAAAGTTAGGGTTGAAAACGTAAAAGATTTTAATCTAACTCGGTCCTTTCTAATCATCAAACTTGTTTTACCCGGTATAGCAAACAACTAGTGATTATTGAAACTTTCAATTGGAAAGAAATTTCTTACCCGTAAAAAGTATGCAACGAATTCTCCTTATATATTTATGATTTTGGTCAAAAATTTACTTTATATTTATCTTTGCATAACATATCTATTATAAATTGCTCTAGATGCAAAGTGTTCTGTAAAATGTTAAAAAAGTGTTTCGAATAATTTTCTAAATGGTGCAAATTTGAAATGCAAAAATGTTAAATAGGTTTCAAAAGAAATGCCTCTTAAAATTTTAATATATGTTTAACAGTGTGTAAATTATTAATTATTGTTGTTAAAGCCAGTATTTAATATCGTTTTATTCCATAATTTCTGTTAATACATTCTGGAATAATAAATCATTATTTAATTATTAAAGGGACTGTAAATTATTAATTATTGTTGTTAAAGCCAGTATTTAATATCGTTTTATTCGGTAACAGTACCCTTTTAACCATAGACTTTTAGGTCAAATACGAGCTTTTTTTGTGTAACAGGGTTCCTGTTTACACCAAGGTTATAATGCAAGGAAAGTTAATTGCAGTTGCGTATACTCTGGGTACATATTGAAACCAGTTCTCTACGGGCGGAATTTGTAAACAATAATAGATGAATCAGTGTTCGTTTAGTATCCGAGGAGGTTAAAAGAATAGTTTCCTATGACTAGAATATTTCATTGATTTTTCATGTGAAAGATGGATCCCATGTCAGGCTTTGACATCCGTCTTGTGTTTACATTACCACCCAGAGACAGTACACTGCAGTACACAAGATGCGTACACTTCTGAAAAAACTTTCCTTGCATTATTTCCTTGGTTTACACTATGTTGATGTAGATGTTTTCATTTGATTGGACAGAGTTTTCCTGCCTCGATGACTAAATTAAAGGGTAACGTTGTGAATCGAGCATTATCATCTGTGCTAGAAGGGTTACTTGAAATTACGCGTACAGTCTTTATAAAATGAGATTTTTATTTGTGTGTAACAAAAACTTACTGAAGTCGTTCCTTCTCAATATATTCGAGAGCCTCAGCTCTCTGTATCACGGAAACTATCTTCTCCTGTACCAAAACCAACCAATTAAATCATCAATAAATCAATCATTTAGCCAACCAACCAACCAACCAATCAATTAATCTATCAATCAATTGACACACAATCGATCAATCAATTCAATCAACCAATTGAGAAATAAATCAACCAACCAATCAATTAATCAATCATTCAATTTGCCAACCAATCGATCTATAAACTCAATCAACCAATTGAGAACCAATTGAGAAAATTAAAATTCAAATCAAATCATTTGATAAATAAAGTAATTTACCCAAAATTAAAATTAAAATGTTAAAAATGAGGAATTCAACTAACTAGCCCCCAAAGAACGAAATTCCAAGTAACTAGCTCCCATGTCCCAATTAAAAAATTTCCAAATTGAAAAACATAACGAAGTAACTTAAGCTGTATTACATTTTGTAATTCCCCTCCTGTTCTTAATAAAAACTGTTTTATTAAGATTTATTTGGTTTGGTTTGGTTTCCTGTTCGCAGTTGGATAAAGGCTGTGGCTGCTTCCAATGGTTAATGCTTGCTGTTTTCACCGACCAGCCTGCGTGCAACCTTAAAACATATTTTTTGTAAATAAAATAAGAAATCCGAAAAAGGCAACAAACAAATAAACTTTAAAAACCTCATTTCATACCGAAAAGAGTGAGAAAGAAAAAAATGTCCCAGGCGTGGGACATAGGAGTTCAATTGCCTTTATCTTTTTTTTCCGTTATGTCTTTGATTTTTCAAGCTTAGATTATTTGATCGAACAGAATTTATATTTTGAAATATCTAAGGTCTACGACATTGGGTTGCAAAGATAAAGAAATTAGAAAATCAGTGATAGTAGCAAAGAATTAATTAGTTTCCCTTCCAAATTGTTACACATTAGTTGTAGTTTCTGCTCTAAGGCGATATAAAAGTAAATTGTTATTTTTTGGGACATCCTGTACGATTAAATAATACAGAGTGCCCGTATCATATTAGATTATCTTCAAGCTTTAACGCCAAAAACACAAATAATACTAAAAAAACCTAACATTATTTTAAAGAAAATTTTATATAAGCCTTATTCAATTTCACAAAATGATTTATTCTTCTTAAGATTTCTTATCCGTCACGAAAAACGTGATTTAGACCCATTGACGATCTAATACACTAGAGTTTAAGTAGAAGTATTTCCATTTACTGTTGGCGCCTATTAAATGATTCATATCTCTAATTGGATAATGATAATAAACATAGATGTTACCACCATAAAATTTCTATTGGTTCAGAATAGACAACAAACAATTGACTGAACCCTGATTGGATGAAGCGCTAATGGAATCGGCATACAAGTGTGAATATGATATGGGACACCCTGTATATTCCTGTCTATTTTGTATAAATCAGTGGATAGAGAGAATGCGTTGTAATACAGTGGGATTAGTAGAGGGATACCACGGATATACAGGATATACTATAAAACTAATTTGTATTTATGTTGATCATAACAATAGAAATTTTATCAATTCTTACTCAATACAACACAGAGAAAATTCCAGAATAAGAATCTCAAAAGATAGCAGTTATTTTATAATGTTCAATCAAAATTCTGCATAAGGACAATTCCAATTTTTATCTTTTGATAAATATATAAAGTAGTAATCTCTGTGTGTCTGATCATAACTCGGAAACCTCTTCACTGATCTGCCTTAAATGTTGATAGGGAAACTTGTTAAACTCCGGGAATGTTCTTAGCTTTGTTTAAAATATTGCTTAGATATTAAGGCAAAACTGGGTTCCTAAGCCAGTACTTCGAAGTATATATATAAATTTTTTTAAAAGAGATTTTTTTGTCCCCAGGACATGATCGGGTTGTTACGATCAAATCTCGGAATTTTTTCTATTGCGAAAGTTTGGTGTTGTCTGGGTTTTTTTATTGATCTACCAGGGGTTGTAATCTGGCAGCACATTCATCCATCCACGCTTCATTCATTCTGAGAAGAGGGTTGACAAGATTCCAGCTGCCTAAGATTCTTCTTAGGCCTGAGAATATAGAGTGCAGGAATCCTTCTGATATACTGGAATGAGGCCCGGGTGCCGTACTGATAGGAAACATCACACTCATTGCTCCCTAACATCTGTAAGCCCGGATTGGATACCCCCAGGTACCTATAGCTGGCAACCATAGACTCTCCCTGCTTGTCCACCATTCCTCTCTTCATCGTCATTCACTTGGATCAATCCCACTTGAAGCTTCTTTCTTGTTGAGTAGAAAGCACGCACCCTTTCGCTGCGAGAGCTGTTGACAGCCGCCCCTCTGTCCTCCTACATCCGTCAGGTGGTCATAACTGCTAAACCAGATGTCGGCTTCAGATGTTTTTGAAACCACAGGTTTGTGTGGAGTACGGGAATCGAACCCGTGAACACCAGTCTGGACACCAATCCAATTACTGGCTGTGGACAAGTGTGCTTAACTTCAGTGATCTAACGAGAACTGGTGTCACACACTCTCCACGCCACCCCACAAATAATATATAATAATATATATATAAATTAGTAATCCCTGGTTGTAGGGATGTCCGATCCTAACTCAGAAGAACCTATTTTATTAGCCTAGTTTTATGCGGAAACTCCATGCAAAGCTGGATTCCCAACCTAGTATTTATACAAAGAAGTGTTCTTTGTTTATCTGTTTGTTGGTCCGATCATAACTCAGGAACCCCTACACCGATTTGCCTCAAAGTTTGATTGGGGATCTCTGAAGAACCACTGGAATGTTCTTAGCTTGGTTTTCAAATTTTAAATTGACTGATTTTAAATCGAAAGTTTTGTTTTACGTCAAAATATTGTTTTACTTGGTATAATATAAACATTCTTGTCATAAATGTTCTGAACTTTTTGATAAATAATATAAACTGGAAGAGCAGCTTAACCTTTTAGTTGAGCCCTTATTATTGCCATTAACTATGGATTGGATGGATTGGATGGATTGGTTACAAGAAAAACATTATTAGAATCCATCTTTTCAGATAAACATAGATAATCTTAATAGTTTATCATCATTAGATGTATACGTCAATCTTCTTTAATTTACTTTTCTACATCTTCTATTTCAGTACCTTTTCATTCATGAAATAAGAGATTAAAAATAATGATGATAATTGTTTTTTTTTTGCAAAGATCATGAAAATTGAAAACAAGTAAATATTTGTATTTAATAAAAATTTGATCAAATATGTATTTTATACGTAACTTTTATTTTTCTTTTTTTGGTAATGTTTGACTTTCAACCGGTTTTTTTAACTCTAAGGATTTTCAGATACTTTAAAATATAATACAAAATATTGACTTGTTGGTTTTTTCTTTTTAAGTGTACTTTAACGGAATTGAGTCTTTCACGCACCTCTGACCCTTTAGTAAAAGTAAATTTAACCTAAAGTCTGACCGCGTCAGCCTTGTTGCACCGGCTAGTCCTATTAAGTGTCTGCTGTATTTACCCAATGTAATGGCGATACAGTACAAACCGGGACCGGAAAGGTTGACCCGGATCGGAAATTCAAATGTACTACGGATGCCCGTGCTTTGTTTCTTAAACTCAAAATTTCAAATTCCTATACTTTTGAAACCTATTGATGTAAACTTTTGATATTTCAAACTTGGATTATTTGATATATTTGACATGACAGAATTTATAATTTGAAATATCTAAGGTCTACAATATTGGGTTGCAAAAATATAGAGATTTAAAAATCAGAGTTTGTGGCGAAGACTAAATTCCTTTAGCAAGAAGAGGAAAAAAAAACTTTACAAGATATAAATTAAAGTCTTTATAAAATGAATATAACTTAAATGCCCGACAGGAGAGGAAGTCGTTGTCAATCTTTTGTTTAAACTTTTCTAAGAAAAAAGCTAGGGTTGTGGCACTGTGTGAAGCAACGAATTTGAACGGTACCGTCGGGAATCGAACATGTCTATGCATATGGAAGTTACAATACTTACTTTGCTCTGAGAGCAAGTTGTCTATCGCTTGGGCAAACCCAGGCGTCGGAGGACATCTTGTCCCTCCCGAGGGAGGGGGAGGAGGCTCGGTGCACAGGGGAGGTCGGAGATATCTAAAGTAATAAAATTTTACAAAAAAAAATTTAAGTTATCATTAAATATTTTTACAGTTGTATCAGTTTATTAAAAAATACGATCGTTTTGTTCATTTACAACTGATCAAAACAAATCCCCCAGAACAGTGTACTACAGTACACAATATCATACCAATACATGTTTACAATGTCATACCAATGTCATACCAGGTGCCACCTGTTATTCTATAGTATATATATTCTGAATCTGAGCAAAGAACATTTAAACCTTTAGCCTTTTTTGATCCCGATTTGTTTTTAATTTTAAAGACCGATATCGCAGTATTGTTTAGATTTTGTTCGACATTTAAGGTTAAATAACGTTTTGAATTAAAATATCCTTTACGCTAAAAAAAAGAATTTTAGATTTTTTATTCTTTTCACAGCTTGTAATAAATTCAAAATTGTAATGAGTTTTCTTTCTCTCTGTGCTGAAATTAATTTAATTTGAATCCGTGCAATGGAATGGAATAAAGGCTTAATCATAACGTTATTTCATGGTTTCATCCTTGTTTCCTCGCTTTAACATTATGAAACTGCAATACAAATATAATAAAGATAAAAACATATTCCGCTTTCATTCATTCTTTCATTCATACTAGAATATTCTTAGCATACACACAAGAGATGAGATTTATTCGATAATTCACCCTAGCATCTTCATCAAATCATTCATCCTAGAATATTCTTAGCATACACACAAGCGATGAGATTTATTCGATAATTCACCCTAGCATCTTCATCAAATCATTCATCCTAGAATATTCTTAGCATACACACAAGCGATGAGATTTATTCGATAATTCACCCTAGCATCTTAATTCTTTCAATCACCCTAGCATCTTCATCAAATCAATCATCCTAGAATATGCTTAGCATACACACAACTTACAAGCGATGAGATTTATTCGATAATTCACCCTAGCATCTTCATTCTTTCATTCATGCTAGAATATTCTTAGCATACACACAAGCGATGAGATTTATTCGATAATTCACCCTAGCATCTTCATCAAATCATTCATCCTAGAATATTCTTAGCATACACACAAGCGATGAGATTTATTCGATAATTTGCCCTAGCATCTTCATCAAATCATTCATACTAGTGGTTTCGTTTAATTAAAATAATTACTCTATTCTTCGATTTTATTCTAATAATCAGTCATTCAAATTAACCATCATTTATTCATCCGGTCATTAAAACATTCTACAATTAATTTGTCATAGCAATTATGCAATCTTATATCTATATTAATTAAAAACCTATTTTTTATTAAAGAACTGTTTTTAATAATCTTTGTATTAACCTATTTTTAGAAAAAGAAAAGAAAATAGAATTATTAGATACAATTATATTATTTATCAATAGTTCTGAAAAAAAAACAATTTGTGGAATTTCTTTGAACAAGTTTTCTAAATTCTTTTCATTTTATCTTATCAGAGTAAAACCTGAAAAGAGAATTAAACTGCAAAACAACATTTTAATTTTTTTCTCTGACCCTGTTTAAAAAAAATACAGAAACAAAAGTTGACAATTAAACCTTAGTATTACCAGAGGCCGAATTTTAAGAATTTGAGCGGCGGTATAAATTTAAGCCGCGATTTAAATATGGTTGGTTCCACTTAAAATTGTATCAAATGTGTCAAGATTTAAGCCGGCGCTTAATTTAAACCGGGTTTTGACGGATTTAAACCGCGGCTCAAATTCTTTAAATTCCATCTCAGAAATGGACAACTTTCTCTTTCGATTTAAAGAGTTAATCTTCAATTCAAAAGTTTATCCCTGTATATCTGACTCTAAGAAACATACCAAGTAAAAATGTTACCCTTATTTATTTATGATCTTATGAACGTTGTTGATTTCTCTTCTCAGAAAAATTTAATAGTTTTAATCTTTACCACCTAATCCAGATTAAAAACTAAACATATCGAAACTAGATTAGAATTTGTGGCGAGTAATAAATTCCCTTATTTCAAGTGACTCTCCATGCAAAGATGACAACACCCGATTCACAACCGTACCCTATAAAACCTTTGTCTGTTGATGAAGTATATATAGATTATTTACAATTGTTTCTCCTGCAGGAAAACATATGGAAATATCAGAAATACAAACTTTAAACCTGGAAAAACGACAATATCTTTCACATTTTTTATAAAAAAAGGGTTCAAGGGTACCGTTGTGAATCGGGCATTGGGGTTTTTGAATTTAGGGTCACTTGACAATAAAATGTTACCTGGTTGATGGTATTACAAGGAGCTGAAAGTCGACGGCGTGAGTCGAAATCTCCCGGGGACAAACTGCTCCCGCCGCTGCCAACAGGGGACTGTCGCTGCCCCACCCCGCCCCCAATACTTGCTCTTCCATTCATGCTTAAGCCCCGCCCATTTTTTCTAAAAAAAATTATGAAATATTAATTTGGATGTTAGTCTTTCGGGAGAGCATTGAATCTTCTCCACATACTCAAATTCTCTAATTCTATATCTTTGTAACCTGATGGTGTAATTCTCTGATTGAAACTTAAATTATGCGATCTTACAGAATTCATAGTTTCAAATATCTAAGTTCCACGACATTGAGTTGCAAAGATATAGGGATTACAAATTTGAGTTTGTGATAAATGCTCAATTCCTTCAGAATTTACTGAATAGCCCTCCTAGCCACATTCAGTCTTAGCTTATCCTACCCGCAGCGCACTATCATCTGACCGTTGCCAAATGTAAAACTTTTCTCTAAGGAGTGTATTTAAAAAAAAAAGACTTATAAATCCATATATGTGACCAGAAAATTTAGATATAAATTTCCTCCAACTGTAAACCTAACTTTTATGAAACAAAAAACTAACGCGATTACAAATATTTTCTTTTACAATGTTGGGAAAATTGGGGGAAATTCAGCATTACTTAATTAAATTCATTTATTCAAATTCATGAATTAATTTTTCAAAAAAGTTTTATAGATGATTAAAATCTAGATGATTAAAAACTCTAAACTTTATTTTGATACTTCTAATTCATGTTCCAAGGTTAAAATTAATACATTTTAAATCTAAAAAAGATATCTAAAAGGAATGAAAAACAGTTGGCTTAGTTACACTCGATTTCAGTCAATCTGTTGCAATTGATAGAAAATGGATTGGACTGTAAAGACGACTTAAAACTCTTCAATGACGATCCCAAGATAAAATTCTGCCTTGAATGTGGTCTTGAAATGGCTTTTTAATAAGTTGGCAAGTGTACACTGTACAGGTGCAGGAAAATATACAGCATAAATTCCGTACAGTCGTCTCTGGTCCTTTGTGTATAAGCCTGTTTTATGAAAAAAATCAATTATGCGCAAGATACAACTACTGTTAATGAATTTGCAAACAATAAAACAAGTACATAAAGTACATAAAAGGAAAAATATACACACTACATGTAACATACCCTTAACTAAGCTTTCGGTCAGTGTACTGCAGTAATCTGCCGTACACTGAAGATATAGTAGCGTTAACTGGACAGTGTTGCATAAATATTTGACGACCTATATAGAATTGACAACAAATAGGTTCGATAGAAAATTGGATATCAGGCTATCTTGTACATTTGTAAACAATTCTTACTGCAAAGAAAAATAGATGCTTCCTTTTACCCACGAAGGATAATGCATATTGTTTAGATAACTTGAAACTCTGAAACATACGCTTTTTATGATTTATTCAATAGTTGGGTAAAGATTTAAAATTGTTATAAACATGAAGGGTTTTAATTTTTCGTAAAATTTAGTTTAATTTAGTTTTGTTTGGTGTGTAATTGGCTATGATACTTCCATGAACTGATGCTGTGGATGTACACTGTACACTTTATAGCATGGAAGCATAAAAATAATTATCATTTTCAAATTTTATTTTTTTTCGATTAATATTCGAAAACATTATATCTTAAACGATTTGCGTCCAAAAAAAAAAAACTATAAAAGATGTCCAAAAAAAACTATAAAAGATGCCCAAAAAAACCTATAAAAGATGTCCAAAAAAAACTATAAAAGATGTCCAAAAAAAACTATAAAAGATGCCCAAAAAAGAACTATAAAAGATGTCCAAAAAAAAACTATAAAAGATGCCCAAAAAAGAGAAGTTCGATTACACGATTTGCTATGGTTTTGCCAATTAGTTGTATAGAGATCTAAAATGTACATGGATGGGGCCAAGGATGTAATGCAAGGATAGTTATTTCAGAAGTGTACACATCTTTTGTACTGCAGTGTACTGTCTCTGGGCGGTAACGTAAACACAAGAAAGCCTGACATGGGATCCATCTTTCACAAAAAAAAATCAATAAAATATTCTGGTCATAGGAAACTATTATGTGAATCATCAAAATTATCAAAATTTAATGCATTTAACCTCCTCGGATACTAAAAGAACACTGATGCATCTATTCTTGTTTACAAAGAAAACTGGTTTCAATGTGTACGCAGAGTATACACGGCCGCAATAACCTTTCCTTGCAATACACCCTTGGAGTTTAAGTATGTAATTGAGGTGTTAAGTCAATATGGAGAATTTCAATGTCATAATAATTGATGCAACTTTTCATAGTAGTCTAGATCTTTTCTTTTCCTTTCCTGCATATCCCAATATATATTCTAGTACGTGCAAGGTACTAATGCAAGCAAAGTTAATTGCGGTCGCGTACACTCTGCGTACATATTGAAACCAGTTCTCTCTGGGCGGAATTTGTAAACAAGAATATTTGCATTAGTTTTCGTCTAGTATCCGAGGAAGATGAAAGCATTAAATTTTGATAATTTTAAATATTCACATAATAGTTTCCTATGACGAGAATATTTCATAGATTATTTTTGTGAAAATTGATTCCATGTCAGGCTGTGACATCCGTCTTGTGTTTACTTTTCCGCCCAAAGACAGTATACTGCAGTACAAAAAATGCGCACACATCTGAAATAACTTTCCTTGCATTAGTACTTTGAGTCCGTGTGTCTATTTTTATCACGATATGATATATTTATAGATATAACATTAAGATATATTTCATATCCTAATAGATATTCTAGTTCGTGTTTCGATTTTTATCATGATGTATGTATATTTATAGATATAACTAGATATATTTCATATTCCAATATATATTCTAGTACGTGTATCTATTTTTATCACGATGAAATATATTTATAGATGTATCTAGATACATTTATATATTCCTATATGTATTTATATATAATTTATAAACGCTTGAAAAATAAAAAATTCGAATTTAGAAGAAGAAAAAAATGTCAACTTGTTTAGTCTATGTTACTCCCAAACATAGGTTTACTTAAAAAATGAAATTATTTGAGCGAAGAGCTTTATTAAATAAATAATTTTACCTAGATATATTTATAGCCAGTCTATATTTAGATTTAGAAAAGAAGATTAATTCCAAGGCTTTCTATCGTTGTACAATATACAAGACTTATTAAGCTTTATATATATATATATATACATATTGCATGCACATATAAATATATGTGTCATAATGAACAATAAACAATATGTAGTTAAAGGGAGTGAACGGCAATGTATGGTGGTTAAACTGAATATGTAGTAATGTGGACAAATTGTTTAGGAATTATTTGAGACAAATAAAACGTTTCTACGACGTATATTTACTAAGTTTGAGCGCAAAGTCGACGTTCAAAACCAAGAAAAATTTCGTTTAAGAAATATCTATTTCTAATTAGTTTACTGTATAATTTATACTCTAGTTTTCGTCGTCGCTATTTAATAATTTTAAAAAACCGATTCTGATAACGTACCAACCCAAATTCATGATTTTGAACGTCGACTTTGCACTCAAACGCAGTACAACTATACATCGTGGAAAAGTTTTATATGTACATTTATAAATAGATGCACATTTAATCATCTAGTTTAATATTTTATTTTTATTTTTCAAATGGTTGACCCTATTAACCCTGACTGGTTCCTTGGGGGGGGGGTCAACTTGACCCCCCCCCTCTATTTTCTTATTGTGATACAAATCTATAACATTTGATACGTTTTTGGAAAAAAGTGGCACATTTGCAAAAATTCAAATATTTACTGCAAAGTCTAGTTATTAAGCAAAATATGTGCAAAAAATTGCAAATTGCAACAAATTGTACACTTTTGAAAAGCCCTGGACTTCGCAAATTCAAATGCTCAAAAACTTTTGCAAAATTTTTAAAACTTAAATGTGAATTCAAGAAAAACTGAAAAATGTACAAATTCCCTTTAAAGGTGCAAAAATCTGTGCAAATTTCTTTGCCAACATTGTGCAATCTGGATGCTTTTGTTATAGGCTTTCCAAAGTGCTATAACATGTTGAAATCCAAAAAATATTTTGTCTGGTACACGTAAAATAAGGCAGTAGGTATAAAAGCCCAGCTTAAGTGATGGGCATGTGTTAGAAAATGGGCAAAAGTCAGAAAATTTGAGCTTCTTAATTCAAGTTTTTTAGTTATCGCAAAAAAACGATCCCCCCCCCCCCCGGGGTAAATAGGGTTAAACACCGGTTCATAATTAATCAATTTATCAATAAAATTGTTTGAAATCCACCAAAAAAATGGATATACAAAATCTTAGACTGTACAATGTAGAGAATAAATAGGTTGCGTTGCAAGGTTATAGTGGTACCATGCTGTATAAGCTCTCTAATCCTACTCTGCATGAACAGCAGGATACACATTAGTTTAATCACTTATCAGATTATTCACATTATAACTTTATAGGACTGTTTAGTACATTTACAACAGTTAGAATCTTATCAAATTGTCGATGCAATGTTCCCCCATCCCCTACTCCCCCCCCCCTAACTACGAAACTGAAACATGCATAAAGAGTGTCTCATAGGGACTGAAAAGGTTACGCTTATTTAAATATAAATTAGATTTGAGTTGAGTAATCAGTTTCTTCATAGAACTGTAACAAATCTGATATTTATAAAGTTTTAATCATTACCTTGTCATTAATTTTCATCCGCCCAAAGTTTGATTGTTTTATCCAAATTGTACATTTTGCATTCACAACATTTATAAATTTGCAAAATATTCATCTGTGCAATATTTCTGGGAAGGACTTTGACTTTCAAAATGTTATGTTCGATTATTTCGTGAATAAAGTTTGTTTTCCCGTAATTATCATTTTTATTGGGAATGTAATTCAACTGAAGATATAATCCTAAATAGACCCCAACCACCAAATAAATCGAAATCATTTTTTGATCTCAATCTTTTGTAAATCTTCTTTAATCTCTTCGATATTCCGTGAAGTGTGTCGCCTGTGACAAAAAACAAAGAGCCAATCAGAAGCCAAAGAATTTTTCGTTTAACACAGAAATAGCTGATATCCCAAATCAAGAGGTCAAG